AACAGTTGTGGAGGTAGCGACGATTTTTTACCCACGCGCTACGTACAAGCAATATGAAAAGTCTGTAGTTGTCCCTTTCCGCGACCAGTGTTCGTCTCCTGTTTAATTGATATTGGAAAACACACAGGGATGTTTCTTTGATATAATAATGTGTAGAGTGACCAGTAGGAGTCATACGTAGTAAAATTAATAAATATATTACAAGAGTTGTGGAGGTAGCGACGATTTTTTACCCACGCGCTACATACAAGCAATATGAAAAGTCTGTAGTTGTCCCTTTCCGCGACCAGAGTTCGTCTCCCGTTTAATTGATAAGTGAAAACACACATGGATGTTTCTTTGATATAATAATGTGTAGAGTGACCAGTAGGAGTCATACATAGTAAAAATAATAAATCTATTACAACAGTTGTGGAGGTAGCGACGATTATTTCCTACACTCAATAGACAAGCAATGTGAAAAGTCTGCAGTTGTTCCTTTCCGCGACCAGTGTTCGTCTCCTGTTTAATTGATATTGGAAAACACACAGGGATGTTCCTTTTACATAATAATGTGTAGACGGTCCAGTAGGAGTCATACATAGTAAAAATAATAAATCTATTACAACAGTTGTGGAGGTAGCGACGATTACTTCCTACACTGAATAGACAAGCAATGTGAAAAGTCTGCAGTTGTCCCTTTCCGCGACCAGTGTTCGTCTCCTGTTTAATTGATATTGGAAAACACACAGGGATGTTTCTTTTATGTAATAATGTGTAGACGGTCCAGTAGGAGTCATATCATTATGTTTCAACAGTTGTCGACGTAGTGACCACTATTTACCCACACGCTATAAGCAAGCAATATGAAAAGTCTGTAGTTGTCCCTTTCCTCGACCATTGTTCGTTTCCTGTTTAATTGATATTGGAAAACACACAGGGATGTTTTTGTTATATAATAATGGGTAGAGTGGCCAGTAGGGGTCATGCGTATTAAAAATAACACATATATATATTACAACAGCTGTGGAGGTAGTGACCACTATTTACCCACGCGCTATATCCAAGCAATATGAAAAGTCTGTAGTTGTCCCTTTCCGCGACCAGTGTTCGTCTCCTGTTTAATTGATATTGGAAAACACACAGCGATGTTTCTTTTATATAATCATGTGTATATTGACCAGTAGGAGTCATAAATAGTAAAAATAATCATTATATTTCAACAGTTGTGGAGGTAGCGACGATTTTTTTACCCAAGCGCTACATACAAGCAATATGAAAAGTCTGTAGTTGTCCCTTTCCGCGACCAGTGTTCGTCTCCTGTTTAGGAGTCATATCATTATATTTCAACAGCTGTGGAGGTAGTGACCACTATTTACCCACACGCTATAAGCAAGCTATATGAAAAGTCTGTAGTTGTCCCTTTCCGCGACCACTGTTCGTCTCCTGTTTAATTGATATTGGAAAACACACAGGGATGTTTTTGTTATACAATAATGTGTAGAGTGGCCAGTAGGGGTCATGCATATTAAAAATAATATATATATATATTAGAACAGCTGTGGAGGTAGTGACCACTATTTACCCACGCGCTATATCCAAGCAATATGAAAAGTCTGTAGTTGTCCCTTTCCGCGACCAGTGTTCGTCTCCCGTTTAATTGATATTGGAAAACACACAGGGATGTTTCTTTTACATAATAATGTGTAGACGGTCCAGTAGGAGTCATACATAGTAAAAATAATAAATATATTACAACAGTTGTGGAGGTAGCGACGATTACTTCCTACACTGAATAGACAAGCAATGTGAAAGGTCTGTAGTTGTCCCTTTCCGCGACCAGTGTTCGTCTCCTGTTTAATTGATATTGGAAAACACACATGGATGGTTTTTTTTATATATAATAATGTGTAGAGTGACCAGTAGGAGTCATACATATTTAAAATAACATATATATATTACGACAGCTTTGGAGGTAGTGACCACTATTCACCCACACGCATTATCCAAGCAATATGAAAAGTCTGTAGATGGCCCCTTCCGCGACCAGTGTTCGTTTCCTGTTTAATTGATATTGGAAAACACACAGGGATGTTTTTGTTATATAATAATGTGTAGAGTGGCCAGTAGGGGTCATGCATAGTAAAAATAACATATATATATTACGACAGCTTTGGAGGTAGTGACCACTATTTACCCACGCGCTATATGCAAGCAATGTGAAAAGTCTGTAGATGTCCCTTTCCGCGACCAGTGTTCGTCTCCTGTTTAATTGATATTGGAAAAAACACACAGCGATGTTTCTTTTATATAATAATTTGTAGACGTTCTAGTAGGAGTCATAAACGATGCGATTGTACGATGTTTCAAAGGATGTGTGGCAAATATTTTCATGCAGAGAACATGACAGTAATCCGCAAAGAGAATGTATTTTAAGCTTTAAGGTCAACAGAGAGCTTGCTATTTGGCACTTTTGTACGACGTTGGATGTGTTTGGCATCACAATGAGCAATATGACATCATAACAGTTGACCCGTGAAGATCCAGTGTAGAATAGGTCTTAGGCAACCCATTCTTGCCCTAAAAGGCGACTATGCGTGTCATAAGAGGCGACTAATGGGATCGGGTGGTCGGGATCGCTGACTTGGTTGAAGCATGTCATCGATCCCAATTGTGTGGATTGATGCTCATGATATCAATGACAAGAATAGGTTGCTGAAGACCTAATCTACCCCGGGTCTTCACGGGTATGATAAGTTTGTGTGAAGTATTACAGTGTAAAGGAACTGCTGGACATATAGAGCACCATATTGTGTTTACAGGCTGTTGTCAGGGATTCCGTAAATTCAGATCAACAATACTGGACTCAACCCATGCCACTTCACTCAATATATTTTTGTATTACAAAAGAGTTGGCATTTTATTTAGTCGTGGTAGAATGGAGATTTAATATTTGAAACCTCATGCTGCGCTTTTGGTTCCAAATTCAATTTAGCATGGTTAAATCTACAGGTAACCTAGCTCTACATTGAAAACACAGTATGTTTATGTCCTAAATATGATGCGCTGCCCTTTTGAAGCTTTTAGGTCAGGGGTATAAAAATATTTCTAAGTTGAAAACATGAAACAAGATACCGGTATATTTTCTGAGAAATTCCACTTATCAAACTGTGCACTGCACCTCCTCTATTTTAGTATGGAAACTGTTCCCTAAATTTCAAAAGAATGCATGCAGTGCTTAAAATGTTTAAGTAGAAAAAATATAAGTAACCCAATGAAAAACAGCTGTATTTTTTCAGAAAATCCAAAAATTGAAATCAAACCTCACACAGCACCTGTCCTATTAATACACAAAGTTTGAGAAGAATCTATGCTGTAGTTTTCAAGTTATAAGTCACACTAGAAAATGTCCTCGGAAAGATTAAATCCCCGACCTTTTATGGTTAAGAAACCATTAATTTCAAGCAGGGCTCATGGAAATAACATTAAGGTTGCCTGACTGGCTAACTTAATTTTCTTGTGAACTATAACACATTATTCAGTTGACAAATGTGAAACGAGAATATCATGTTAAAATTGTCACAAGCTAGATATGATAAATAGCTGAGTTCTGATATTAAGGATGTACTGTAATATTTGTCATGCTTGAGATGATCCATTGTTGTAGTTCTGCAAGTGACAGAAACCCAATTGATTTTGACTGTATTTCTAACAAAAGTAACATTCACTGAAACTTGAATACCAGATTTTATTCCTTGTATTGGGAAGTGTAAAAGTGCATTAACACTGTCACACACGCTTTATTTGTAAATTTAAGTTTAAAGCACAGATGGAATGAAATTAAGACTTAAAACTAAGTACCATACCACAATAAAACTTTTCACAGTTTGCAGTTATTGAGGCATTTATTTTGTGATATATTTACAGTAGGGCTGGGACGAGTTCAAATTTACTACCCGGTTACCCGATCCCCTATTACCCGGGTACCCACTGCAAGTCTCAAGAGTAGGGAACAAAATGTCAGATTGGTAATTGTTTTACCGCAGCCCTGGCTAAAGCTATTCAGATACATGTATCAAACAATCAGATCATGCATACACTGAAGTTGACTGAAGCTTTATTTTTACTCAAACATTTACAAGTCAAAAGGAATGAGTGCATCGTCAGAAAATAATCTTAACATTAGCGACTTGTAGTGTAACCATTGAGCTATAGTATGTTTTTGTCTTTAGACAAAATATAACGTGACTAACCACGGGTCTGGGTAGTCCTGTGGGTACCCGGGTCCTATTCAGGGCCCACAAGACTCGAGTACCCGAGTCACCCGTCCCAGCCCTAATTTGCAGTGTTAAATGGTAGTGTTTTCTATTTTGGAAACAGAACACAAACTCAACATATGAGTGTTAGAACATAGAGACTTTCAACACATCCTTTTGTCTAACATTGTGCATGATACACAAAAAATAATAACGGGTGGTATAAAATGATTTCACAAGGTTTGGTTGAAAAGCAGTGCCGCTTATTATTAATGGCTAAAATGACAATACATGAGCAAACTCGATTATTTACAGACCGCCGTCATTTAGTTGAGTTGAAATATTGGTGAGTGCTTCGTTAAACAACAACAAACAAACAAATCTGACACAACTAACCCAAAGGATCTAAGAGGCACGCGTGGATAACATAAGATGCTAAAAGATATGTCTTGAGCCATATCGATTTTAATCATACTTGGTGGCAAACAAATTTTGCATTCGCACTGTTGACACAACCACAATAAAACCGACCATAACCCACCTAAGAGACTTCCTGGCAGTTATAGTTAGCGATCTGTACGTTAATATAACAACAAGCCGACCTTCGACAGTAAACAAATGCGTAAACAGATCCGCCATGACAGTAGCACTGAGCGCAAGTAATTAATGGGAAGAGTCGCGTCCCTTGCAAGATGTATACCACTCGATAAACGTAGCGCTGTGGCCTGGTCTGGGAAAGGGACGTATACTGACTCGACCGAAGTTTACATACAGCATCTTTGTTTACATATTTTTCGATCTTACACGTGCGTGTTTTGTAAGTCTGTTGATCATGTATACAAAGTTTCAATATAAGTATTTCAGAATAGGTGCCCATGCTCTATGTTTATCTCAAGTTTCAGTAATTTGGTACACGTATGGTAATGTTGATTAGTGGCACAGTAGTCAGGTAGTGGCTTCACCGGTCTCAATCTCAGCGACTCATCCTAATTTCAGGGATTTACCGTACAAGGCTTACTTTTAATTCAGTTACCTGTGACGAGGCGTTTCGCCTGCCGCAGCCTATTAAACTTCTAAGTGGCTCAGGCCACAGGCCCCTGAAGTAGGATAGTGATATAACTGAATACCTCGTACACAAGTATCTATTTATATATATGGGTCCACTGTTTCAGTTATGTCACTATCCTGCTTCAGGGGCCTGTGCTCGTGTGGCTCTTCGAGCTCTAATGACACTATTACGTACAATGACTGAAAGAGGCAGGGTTCACAGGCGGAGGTTTTACTAATTACGGTTCTATTGCACACGGTTTGATGACAAGGTTATCATGGTTTTGGACCTGCTATGCCCATAATAGTTATAATGATCATGTTGAGCGGGCCTATTTGGTTCATCCATTTTGACTTTGTGACTGTCATCCATTTGGTCCAGGCGTAACGAGTTGGATACAATGAAGTCAGTCAAAACCCTCTTTGTTATATGTTTGTCAGTCTCATGATCAAGCCGTTGCAAAGAGACAGTATCTCATCTTTACACATTCCCCAACCATTTCAATTGTAAATGTCCGAACGAAGTGTTTACCTCTTGATTTGTAGTCTAAGATGAGAGATCGTTCACAGTTGAAGAGAAAAGCGCCAACAGGAAAGACAAAATTGGTAAGAATTATTTCTGAAGAGTACTCAGCACTGGTAAATCCCATGCTAAACATGCTAAACCATGTGTAATGTTTCCTCATTAGTTCCATCGTCATATGGCATTTGGTGATTCCATCGCATGTTGCGATATCAATGTATCAGTAACTTGTATTGTCAAGTGAGTTTTGATACTAATTTATGAATATCAATGCTAAACTAATAATTCAATGGAAATGAAATGTTTACTTTAATTAAGATTACCATGGTGATGGACAATGAGAAGTCATAAAGTTCAATTTTCAACATTTAAGCATGGTTTATGGATCAGCCTAGTCCATTGTTAGCTTTAAATTGATTAATTGCAGGTCTGCATAGGTCATTTTTATCTATACACACACGGAATATTTATTGTTATTTTCAGCTGATAATTTTGAGTCGATATATCAGTACTAAATTTCCAGTCAATAACACCCCTATCGTTGATATGTCACAGGTTTGTGTACATTATACTTTCCTCCATCACCAATAAATATACACGGCTGCAGTGCAGTGTAGCAATGTTCCCGTTTACCGGTAATTACCATTTTTTTACTGGTAAAATTAGGCTTGGACCTGTAATTCATAGGACTACCAGTCCCGGCAAATAACGTCTCATTGTCAATTTTTAGTGCAAGGAAATAACATTTTACTTTTCTTCCAGGGTAAATATCCATTTGCAGTGATTTAGTTTCAAACCAAAGTTAATATTCAGGGGGAAAAAGAACACTGACAGAACTTTGTGTGAATCATGTGTAGATCTAACCAAGTTACTTCAGGGATGATGTCATTTGATGCAGTGTTTCCGCTGGCTTTTAAAACTGCCAGTCCACCAGGCATTCCAGGACTGGCAATTCTAAAAATGACCAGTCCCCCCCCCACCCCCCCTAGTCTAGTCTGGTTCCAGTCAGAGTGAGACCAGCTCATGTTCTGATAAGTTCAGGGGCACGGGTGGCCCAGTCGTCTAAGGTGCCGCGATTCGCTGTGCGGAGTTGCGTCCCTTGGGCAGCCCAGAAACCTATGATTGTGGGTTCAAATCCTGGTTCATCCTGATTATGTTTCTAGGTTTGTCAGCACCATACCCGTGCTTGTGGGTTTCACCGAAATGGTAAACGTCTGAGACCTGCATCACTTTGGGCTTTCCTCCCACATTAAGCTGACACGCCGTGATATAACTGGAATACTGTTAAAAGCGGTGTTCAATCCAACTCACTCACTCACTCTGACAAGTGAAAGCTCAGATTACATCACACAGAGGATACATTTTACCAAGTGCTACAACCATACACAGGCCACAAAGTTTAAATTTTTACCAAATATGGCTACAAGTATTTTTTTCCCAGGTAGCCAGTGGTAAGTCAAAAGCATTTGAAAATATCTTTTTATCAAATAACTATTATAATATGTAGAAGTCATAGCACTAGTCTTGAAATTTTATATTAGTGGATATGTACTTGATTTTTGTTACTTGTGACTCGAACAATGATGCAATTTATGTTACTAGATTATATAGGTATATTCTTGCTTATCCAATGAGCATTATCAACTAAAATAAAATCTAATCACATTAATATTTATGTATTTTGGTTCACTGTCGACTTTAGAAGTGCCTCATTTCATTGTTTGACATAAAATCGACAGGTGTCACTACTTCACTTGTTTTGGTCGTATATATTCATTGGTGATCATGTTGATGGAGGAACGTAGTGTGTAGGAAATATGGAGAGCCCACTATTTCTTATTTTGATAAGCGCCCTGGGCGCTTATTACATCGTATATTGTATATTGTTTAATCACTGGTTATGTTGGTGTTTTAGCCGCCAGTATCCGACTTTGAGCCTGTACACTTCGTCCGATGCCACTCAGCAGACAATGACCCCAATAACAACCAAGCCAAGGTGTGGCGGTGTGCGTTTGAACCCGTCAAGGGGAAGCCAGGTACGTGCAGGATAGTCAGTGGTCCAGAGTTGCTTCCCTTGTCAGTGGTCCATACAAGCTCCTTCCCAGCGCGTGACACCTTCGTTACACTCTCGGTAACATCACTGCCACCAGTGTGGGCGCAGCCATTACAAGAATATTGAAATTTGCCCTCCAACCCCATATGTAGTAACATTTATACTTTTGTTTATGTCTTTGGGAATGCCATCATATTTCAATTTGAAAAGGTTTACGACTGACCATGTTTTCCAGATGAATTTACTTTGTTGTTTTGATAATCAGATTGGTTCGAGATTGCAGACTAATGGAAAATCAGCCATTTTCTCCCTTACATTCTCACTATATCAATAACCCGATAGTTTTAATGAAACAGAAATTCAAATTGACAAACAAAGAAAGTAATTTAGCAGCGATAAGTGTTCTCGGCGTCACAATAGTCGTCACTTGTTTGTAAACATAACGGTCATTCGGTTGCGAGTTCAACTCCAAGCATGGTTGTGGCCACCTATTCACAGTGGGGAGTTTTGACTGGTGGCAGCGATATTATAGAGAGCTCCGGGAACGTTCTATCGCTGTGAGGAGCTTGTGGTCCAGAGTTGCTTCCCTTGTCCAAACTTATCTGTTGGATTTTTTGGATGTTTTAGATTTTTCATTTTTGTTGTGTACAGTTTGCGACATGAGCTGCTGGTCCTAAGTCTGTGTTTGATCAAATTTCTTAAGGTCTATACAATAAATACCACATACTGAATAGATTACAGACAACACAGCCTCCTCAGCTCCCCGCCACAGACAGCGTATAGTAGAGGTGAAACGATGCAGCAAGGTCACCATACGATACATGTCGTGATACACAAATTAACGCCAATCACATTTTGCAATATTTGACTGACAAAATCGCTGGGGGTGGGTGGGGGATTAAGTAATATGATTTAGCAAGTGTATTACCATATATCAATACCTCGGCCACACAGCATGGTGACCCTCTCATCATCCTAACTCACCAACATTTTCTTGTAGATGAGAGCGGTCACATTCTTGCAACCTGCGGCAGCAACATCGTGTGTTTCATTGACTGTGCGACAGGGAGGGTCCTCCGCAGATACAAGGACACAAACCAGACTGAGGTAACTAATTACCATCTGTTTTCATTTACTATTACCATGGTTACCAAGGCTAAAATAAAACAATGACTTATCACATAAAGTTTTTGTTGTTGTTTTACGTCGCACTCAGCAACATTCCAGCCATATGACAGCGGTCTGTAAATAATCTGGTATGGATCAGACAATCCAGTGATCATGTGCATCAATCCAAGCAATTTGGATCGATGATGTGCTTCAACCAAGTCAGCAAGTCTGACCACCCGATTCCATAGTCTCTTACGACAAGCAGAGTCACTTACACAGAAATCACATCAACCAAAACACTCCAACAGAAGATGATTTCAGTTCCCCATTTCAGAACAAAACCTTTTTGAAAATCAATCTGATTGTCTGAACCATTTTTTTCAAAGTTTATATCTTTAAAATCAGTTGATTGAATATCTTTGCTTAGCAACAGGTAATATGTCAGAATTTTATGTTGAAATAATCCTGGTAATGAAGATAATGAAATTATGTTTGAAAAGCAGAATCACAAATTTAAGTGATATGATATTTTGTTTACTCAATAATCAATTTGGGTAATATCTTAAGTGAACATGCAAATGGTTGATCGTCCGTCCTCATACCCAGACAGTGTGGGTCGGTGCTCATAATATCAATCACTGGTTTCTCTTTCTAAGGGGGTGGTCGGGTAGCCTAGTGGTCAAAGCGTTCGCTCGTCACGCCGAAGACCTGGGTTCGATTCCCGACATGGGTACAATGTGTGAAGCCCATTTCTGGTGTCTCCCGCTGTGATATTGCTGGAATATTGCTAGATGGGGTGTAAAACCATACTCACTCCACTCTTTCTTAGGGTGTGCAGTTCATTCTTTCCACAATACATATCACAATCTCAGTTTTTTATGCTCAATATATCGGGTGATTTAAGAATGATGAACACTTCGTTCAGTCCTCACATGGGAACAATGTCAGGCCCTCTCAGATGGGTTATTGTTGGTTATGTCTGAACGAATACTTGCTTCCTGATTCTGTTGCACAATGTCAAGGCTGTATAACCCAGGGTTTTATCTTGGATGCCAAACTAAGTGACTCTGGCAGACAAACTAGGGAAAAAAATCCTTATCTCAAATTCAGGGATTTCTTAATGTATCATTCAATGCAAAAATGTAAAACGAAATGTCAAAACCTCTTCTTTATTGTCCTTGTTATCAGTGAAATGCAAGTCACCTCTCTATGTTATAACAATAATTGCATGGCTTAGCAAATCTTTATTTCCATTTGGGAATAATTTTTACTGACATTTGCTTTGGACTCGGGGGGGGGTGGGGGGAGGGGGGCACGGGTGGCCCAGTTGTCTGAGGCGCCGCGATTCGCTGTGCAGAGTTGCGTCCCTTGGGCATGCCAGAAACCTATGATTGTGGGTTCGAATCCCGATTCGCCCCAATTATGTTTCTAGGTTTGTCAGCACCATACCTATGCTTGTGGGTTTCACCGAAGTGGTAAACATCTGAGACCTGCATCACTTCGGGCTTTCCTCCCGCATTAAGCTGACACACCGTGATATAACTGGAATACTGTTAAAAGCGGCGTTAAACCCAACCCACTCACTCACTGTGGACTCGGGGCCGAATCTCGGCCTCTGGGCAGGCAGGTCGAAATTCTACATAAATCTCAGTAATCTTGGTGTTGCAGACTTTCTACACACTAGCATGGACGACGGTACCTTCCCAAATAGATGCACGGGAGACGGTCAACATCCTGGCAGTGGCAGGTGAGTGAGACGACCTTGAGTTGGGTCTCGGTCAGCAGGGAAAGACATACCATTTATAACAGGCATACACCGGCAAACAACTTGACAGCTTCAGGCTGGCGAAAATGTGGTAGATTTATCTTTTTAACTCCAATAACATTGCACACACACTGAAGAATTGCACTGACTATGAAAGGTGTTTTCTTTGTTTGAAACAAAATTCAATGACTGGCTGAAGAAAATCAGATATGGACAGTCGAACATTTAAGAATTATATTAAATGTGCTACATGTCCCCAGCCTGGAGTGGTCAAGTAGTTCGCCTGGGACCCCCTAAGTAGCCTGAGGGTCCTTTAGACTCGCAAACAGAACAGACCGCCTGGGTGGTCAAGTGGTAGAGCCTGGAGAGTGGTAGGCCCGGGGTTCGATCCCCGACCACGTCATACCAATGGACGTTTAAGATGGTACCTGTCACCCTGCCTGGTGCTCAGCATTAAGGGGCTAAAACAAGGACTGGTCAGCTCGGAGTCAGTATACTGTGTCTGAATGTGGTATTCATGTTATACTGCGGCATGGAATCTCTTGGACGCAACATTAAACCCCTTTTCACCTCACCTCACTGCAAACAGGAGAACTCAAGGAAATCCTGGTTTATGCTCTACCTCTTTTAGGCTTTGCTTGTTGATTAACGCCGCACTCAGCACTATTCCAGCTACATGACAGCAGTCTGTTAATAATCGAGTCTGGACCAGACAATCCAGTGATTGCATGAGTGCTTTGTGGAGGTATTGGTTGTAAAAGTTGAGGTTTGTTTCAGGGGAGGGTGCCACCATCAAGCTGCTGCACCCCCGCCAGCTCGTCATGTTCGGCAGTCTGCAGGGGCACAAGAAGTACATCAGTTGTCTCCTCTTCCATCCCAGAATCCATCACTACCTCTTCAGTGAGTATTGTACTTGATTATCGTCAATTCTTCACAAGTACGCTACGTTCTTCCATCACCTGTGAATACATATGGCTGTGTGGTGATGTATGTCTATTTTTAGTCAGCCAATCAGATGAGGCCATACATAACTCATGGAAGTCAGATGAGCCCTACCTGTCCACGACTCTTGTGCAAACCCCACCGTTGCCTGATATGAAAGCAAGGTGTTGTGGTGGCCGCAAGGTGTTGTGGTGGCCGCAAGGCTGGAGCACATGTTGCACATGATGTCAAGCTCGAAACATTGCTGTTTGTCAGATGTACATTGTATAACACTCCAAATTGTGAGAGATATATGCTACTTAAAAAAAATGAGGACCACTGATTCATTTCAAGCTTTGAGGACAACAGAGAGCTTGCTATTTGGCACTTTTCTCTATGCGACTGTGACATCATAATTTTGGCGTACAATGAGCGATATGATGTCATAACGGTGACCTTCGGTGTCTTTTCAGAAAAATTAGTTTTCTTTAGGGGTGCCCACACTCATGTTAGCTTGCGGAGTTGCCAAGCTACATGCTTTCAGTGTCTGTCATAAGTTTGAGTGAAGTATTATGGTGTAAACAAACTGCTTGAGCATACACAGTGCCACATTTTGCTAGAAGATTGTTGCCAGTGATTCCGTAAATCCTGATCGACAACCGACTCAAAACACTGGACTAAACACATGCCGCTTCACTCAATATGTTTGCTAACACCAAAGAGGTCACGTTTTGTTTAATCATGGTAGAATGGAGATAAACATACAGTTTGCTGTGTTTTCAATGTAGAGCTAGGTTACCATGGTTACCTGTAGGATTAACCGCTGTAAATTTAACATTTGAAACCTTGTGCTGCATGTTCCGTTCCAAATTCAATTTAAGCTGTTAAAGACTTTGGATACCATTGTTCATGCGCATACCGGACGCGCATGTAACGGCGAGTATTTGTAATGCGGTTACGTCCCTTTGACTTGCGGCTAATTGTACTTCCGCCAAAATGAACTCATAGAAATGTAAATTTGGGCAAGAGTTACCTCCCCTGATTCATTATTTTAGGGGTATGCTGTGTTCATTGAAAATAATTTGAATATCCTCTGGTAACATGTTGTTTTTATTTTATAATTTTATTTTATTTTACAATGAATAAACATTAGAAATCAGCCAGTTTGAAAAATATCTTGATTTTGTGAAATGCTTTTTTGACTGATGAATCAATTTTTTGGGAAAATGTGCTTTTTTTAAAGTCAAATGATGTGTGAAATTAAAAATGTTTTGACTTGAATTTTCATTTTTCTGTTTTGTGTCATATTGATACTGTAATATGTCTATTTAAAAACACTCATTTAATAATCAAACTTTAAAATTACCATTTTATTGGCAAAATGATTTTATCATCCGGTGCCTCTAGATGGTGCCACTTATTCAAAAAATGCTGTTGTGACTTGTTTTTTTTTATTGCGTAATTTGATTCAGGACATATTTTCCTCCAAAATGATACCAAATATACCATTTCTTGAATTTTTTGTTTTTTGTATGCAACCTCTTTAAATCTACAGGTAACTAAGTTCTACATTGAAGCAGAGTATGTTTATCTCCTACATCAAAATAAGAAATAAATTAACATAGCATTTCTACTTGTATTTAAAATTGATAATGATATCCACAGTGTGTTAGCTAAACTGGCCAGTGAAGAGTTTGCTTGGCCAGTGATTACAAAATTTTACTTATTGGAGAACAAATAAATTAAAATATGAACTTGGAGCCCCGGCGGAGCAACTTTAAGGTATCAAACACGATTTGTACTACTATAAATCAGCTGATGTTTGCCACCCACACGTTCCAGGTGGCAGCAATGACGGCTTCATCATGATGTGGGACATCGGGACCCCTGACCTCTCACAGCACAGGACGGACTTCAAGTAGGTTGTACTCCCACTATATGGCAGCTGTACTGCAAGGATAACAAGTACTGTACTGGGATTAGAAGTGTGTTGTTTATCGCCGCACTCAGCAATATTCCAGCTATATGACAGCGGTCTGTCAATAATCAAGTCTGGACCAGATAATCCAGTGATTGACATCATGAGCATCGATCCACGCAATTGGGATACGATGACATGCATCAACCAAGTCACTGAATCTGACCATACGATCCCGTTAGTTGTCCCATTGGTTGCCTCTTAAGACAAGCTTGGGTTACTGTAAATCAATTCTAACCTGGATCTTCATTGGTGGCGTCATAGATCAGTATTCATTGATTAATGATAATCTTGTTTGTGTTCGAGACCTCGACTGAAGATCAGTATTCATTGATTAATGGTAACCTGTTGTGTTCGAGACCTCTACCGAAGATCAGTATTCATTGATTAATGATAATCTTGTTTGTGTTCGAGACCTCGACTGAAGATCAGTATTCATTGATTAATGGTAATATTGTTTTCGAGATCTTGACTGAAGATCAGTATTCATTGATTAATGGTAACCTGTTGTGTGGTGTTGACCTCTACTGAAGATCAGTATTCATTGATTAATGATAATCTTGTTTTTGTTCGAGATCTCGACTGAAGATCAGTATTCATTGTTTAATGGTAACCTGTTGTGTGGTGTTGACCTCTGCCGAAGATCAGTATTCATTGATTAATGGTTACCTGTTGTGTGGTTTAGACCCCTACTGAAGATCAGTATTCATTGATTAATGGTAACCTGTTGTGTGGTGTTGACCTCTGCTGAAGATCAGTATTCATTGATTAATGGTGTCCTGTTGTGTGGTTTAGACGTCTGCTGAAGATCAGTATTCATTGATTAATGTTGGCCTGTCTTTGTGGTAGACCTCTACTGAAGATCAGCGTCCCGGGGTCTGAGGCGCTCAACCTGGAATACAGTCTGTCATCACACACACTGCTGGCAGCGTGCGAAGACGGCTGTTTCGGATGGAACATGGAGTCAGAGTTGAAGGATGTTCACAACCGCAGAACAGCCAAAGTGATCATGTAAGATTCGGGAGGGAATACAAATTGTTTCAGCTTCCAATAATTTTATTTCCTGTTTGACCGATAGTCTGCAAGATACCTGCGAGGGGTCAAAAGAATTTTGCTTCAACATGACTCAAGATTTAGAACATGCCACACCTTCTGATCATTACATACCTTGGTTAACAATAATCCTTTTAGAGATTTCAAAGTTCCATCCAAAGTTTCAAGAATTGTATTCATAACAAGATACAGTCAAGTCTTGTTAATCCGACATGGTTGCATATGAATATGTCGGATTAACAAGTTTGTCGGATAAACGAAATTTAGTGGTGTCAACATTTAAAAAGCATAGTCTAGAATGGAAGTCACCAGTTTGAAACCGATGCTGCAAAGTTCATAGTTTGCTAAAGGTCATTCTGACATGGTAGCGGTTGCGAGAACTTGTATCTCATTTTAATGAGATTGAGGTAATTTAAGCATGTGATTAATCATGTTTGCTTTATTTCAAGCAGTAATTGTTTATTGTTAAGCAAGTGTATCTCTGCAGCCATTGTAATATGCAGCTACTATTCGACTCGCATCAAAACACGGACTGTGTACTCACGGGCAGATGACCACGGAGTACGCAGATCACCGTGTCGGACTAAGGAGACTGATTAATGAGTGATTTCAGTAAATTGTTGCAAATTAGGTGTGTCGGTGTTGGAATGCAAGATTAACAGGTCTAAAGAGCACTGATTTAATCGGTTCCCATCATTAGTGTCAGATAAAGCCGATTGTCGGATTAACGTGTGTCAGATTAACGGGACTTGACTGTAGTTTGAACTGTTAGCTTATCAAGGTTATCAAGCTTATCAATAAAGCTGAACACATGTTAAGATGTTGTGTCACATCGTTACAGGTTTTGTGCTGAAATACATAAACAACTAACTGGAAACAAACAGTGATGGTACAACAATGTGTTGACATGTTTGCAGGAACAACAAGACTGAGAAAGCTAATTACATAATTTTCTCAAGAATTGAAACTAATTAATCAAAATCTTAAGAAAATTGTAGAATCTTCTGAGAAACTGCAAAGTCCAAGGAGATGGATTGTTTATATTGACACACAAAATGAAAATCCTTAATTTATCTTAATTTGAAGAGCAAGAAAATGATTTTAGCAGTAAGTATTTGCTCACTTGACAAAGAGCGATGATCCAAAATGATGTTGTGTTTGATTGTCTCATACCAAAATACACAAAAGAACTTAAGTTGATTTTGTGGTCATTTTGTCAAATATTACAAAAAATTGAACAAAGTGTTTCAGTATGGACAAGCGAGTATTATTCACAATAAAGACTTTAAACTAATTCTTTTGTTTTTATCCCCCCGGCATATAATGCGGGGGGATATAGCGATCAGCCAGTCTGTCTGTCCGTCCGTCCGTAATCATTTCCTTTCCTGGGGCAGAATTCGAAAACCATTCAGTGTATTTGATCGAAACTTGGCAAATCTATCAGGCACATACTGAAGTGGTGCCTTTTGATATTTAAGGATTTTTCTAATTTTTATTTTTTTAAATTTTTATGGAATGAAGTTGGACATAGACTGAATTGGTGATGGGGTTCCTTTCCGGGGCAGAATTCGAAAACCATTCAGGGTATTTGATCGAAACTTGGCAAATCTATCAGGCACATACTGAAGTGGTGCCTTTTGATATTTTGGGATTTTTCTAATTTTTATTTTTTTAAATTTTTATGGAATGAAGTTGGACATAGACTGAATTGGGGATGGGGTTCGTTTCCGGGGCAGAATTCGAAAACCATTCAGTGTATTTGATCAAAACTTGGCAAAGCTATCAGGCACATACTGAAGTGGTGCCTTTTGATATTATTTTTTTTTACGAATTTTTATTTTTTACAATTTTTATGGAAAGAAGTTGGACCTAGACTCCATTGGGGAACGGGTTCGTTTCCGGGCCAGAACTCGAAAACCATTCAGTGGGTAAACAATGGATGCTTCTAAAAGAACATTCAACTGTTGACTCATGACATACAGAATTGCACATTTACTAGTGGTTACTTTACAGACAGCTGCCTGGGGGATATGTCATCTTTCTGATGACTCTTGTTGATGTATATTTATGTACAGCCCTGTCTGTGTTTCAGGTCGTCGACCTATAAGTTTGACCTTCAGGGCAAGTCTGACACTGTTGATGGCCTTGCTCTGCTGCCTGGGGATGTCGTAGGTGAGAACCTGTTGAGTGTAGAGTCACGATAAAGCTGGAGTACGGCACCTTAAAGATCTACATGATCTCATGTTCAGCTAAAAGGTTGAAACTTGTGAAAAAAGAACTACATGTACTTATAATGACTAAAGAAATTATTGTTAGTATTGTACTAATAGTTGTTATTATTTTTTATGTCAATACCTGTTTTTTGTTTGGGTGGGGGTCGGCTGGGGTGTAGGGGGGTGAAAGAACTTGTATGACATGTTGAAATTTGTATGTTATGTATATGGTTTGCAGACAAAAACATTCAAATATTGATAAGCAACTAAATGTCAGAATCATTAGTTTATATGGGTGAAAATCACATGTGTTTACTTCATGAATAAAATGGAGTATTCATTATTTTGATATATAATGTTTATATTCATAGACCGTTGCTCGTGCTTTCAGCCACTAGTTTGGTTGTCTCACTCACTCACTCACTCACTCACTCACTCACTCACTCGGGGGCACGGGTGGCCCAGTCGTCTAAGGCACCGCGATTCGCTGTGCAGAGTTGCGTCCCTTGGGCACGCCAGAAACCTATGATTGTGGGTTCGAATCCCGGTTCGCCCCAATTATGTTTCTAGGTTTGTCAGCACCATACCCGTGCTCCTGGGTTTCACCGAAGTGGTAAACGTCTGAGACCTGCATCACTTCGGGCTTTCCTCCCACATAGCTGTAACATAGGTTACACTGGGACATGTAACGTTTATGGACAACAACGTCTTTATTGTTTGTCGGAACATTTCAGGGCCACTTCGTGTCCTCCATCGGTTAAAGACTTGATGGCTTGCATAAACCAACATTCATTTACTTAGTTTTCACTATGTCGGCCCCTAGTTTGTCTTGTCACAGCCTCATTGCTTTTGCACTGTCTTGGACAATTTCCCCAACTCACTTCTATATCTGCAGCTACCAAGTGTGTTCGATCTGGGGCAGTGCTGTTGTGGAATCTGCTGGACCATGTGAGGTCAAAGGTCAAGAGGTCAGGGGGCATCAAGGTTGAACCTCTGGCAGAGCTAGAATACACACACACAGATGTGGAGTATCTCAACATGGGATACGGTGGCGGTATGTACAGTTATACCACATGGGTGTGTTATTATGTCCATTGTTTCGGCAGGTCGTTATTCTTCATATCGACCATAACATGCTTTTGTTTGTTTTGTTTGTTGTTTATCTCAGCACTTAGCAATATTCAAGCTATATGACGGTGGTCTGTAAATAATCGAGTCTAAACCAGACAATCCAGTGATTGATATCATGAGCATCGATCTACGCAATTGGGATACAATGACATGCATCAGCCAAGTCAGCGAGTCTGACCACCCGATCCCGTGCTCGCCTCTTATGACAAGCATAGTCCTTAGGTCAGACAGGGGAGTAAGCCTTGGTTCACACTTTTGCATCTTCACGTAAAAGTGCATCAGCTTGGTGGTCCAGGTGGTATAAGTCAGTGAGTGCCTCCTGTGGGTGATATGCATAAATATTGCACACAGAATCTTTGTAACACAATGATCGTACCAACAAAAGAAATGCAAATACTGTACATGTTGGTTAATATATGAAGACTCATATTCAATAGATATTAGACCGGTTTGATGCACAAACGACATACTGGTATGTTGTGTGAATAGATGCTCATGAACGCATTACATGTGACATCCATGACTTGAGATGCACCATTGTCTCGTGCAGGATTAGTGTGTAAAGTTTGGAAATCACATGCAGTATATTGTAATAAGAGTACAGACACGATGGTAACACTTGACTGATTGTTAGTTTTGTCACTAATTGGTACACATTGGAAACATCACTTCTCAACTTACAAACTTCTCAATTTGTTTCTATGGTTCGTGTTTCTTTTGGCTGTGAGTATGTATCAAACTCATCATTATGACTTGAGTGTGTTCCTCACATGACCTTAAGGACGTCTGCTGGTAATATTTGTGTCCTTTTGAAACATATATAAGTCCATCTATCGCCAAAATGAAGTGATGAAGCTGTGAATCGTACATTAAAATTCAAACAATCAAACATAGGGCCTTAATATCAAACCAAAAAGGAACATAATCAAATTTTCCGAAAAAAATTGTTAACAGTGAGCATGGCAGTGAATTTCCTTTAAGCCCTATAGTAAAGTGTGTATTTGGCACGTGCAGGTGCAAATTGTGAATTACCTCCTTTAAGTCGAGATGTCTTCATGAATATGTATTGAAAGATGCGTTATTTAATTTCAAAATAAATTTATTTTTATTGAACTTTATTTGAAGCACAGTTACTTTTTTCTGTTAGTATAGTTTTAACTAATGTCATAGCTTTGTAGACATGGTAGTGGTGACCAATAACAGGACCAAAATAGAGGAAGAGGTGTGTTAATATTCAATGTTAAAATAACTTTGAATTGAGGAAAATAAGAAATATCCCAATTTTGATAAATAATTTTTTTTTATAAAAATAATGATTTTTCCCAATTTGTCTGGCAAGGGCACTTAGCTTGGTGGCTTGGGCCACTGTGTAATACTTACTGAGTGTGGTGATAAACAGTTAATAACAAAACAAACAAATCTTCTTTCAAGTTCCTTTGCAGTCATGTAGGATAGAAACCTGGCATGCTTTCAGTGTAGAGGTTTTTAACGTAGATAAGGTACCTGTCAATTTCATTCAAAACTGAAAGTGATTGTCTGAGGTATGAATTCTAAGTCTGAAACTTCTACTTTTAAAACACACTTGTTGTATCTCCATTTTGCCATGACACAATGACAAAACAAACACGAACTCTGTTTATTGTTCCTAAAGGTTAGGGCTGGGACGAGTCCAAATTTACTACCCGGGTACCCACCCCCCTATTACCCGACCCTACCTGGGTACTCTCTACAGGTCTCAAGAGATGTCTGATTGGGAAGTTTTACCGCAGCCATGGCAAAATGTATTTAGATACACATATAAAATGATCTGGTCATTCATACACTGAAGTTGACTGACATTTTATCTTTATTCAAACATATAAATGTCAAAAGGAAAGCATGCATAGTCAGAGAGAAATGCGAACATTAGTGACTTGTAGTGTAACCATAGAGTTATAGATAATTGTGGTCACTAAACAGAATATCACATGACTAACCACTGGTCCGGGTAGTCCTGTGGGTACCCGGATCCTACTCACTACTCACCGACCTGAGTTACCCGTCCCAGCCCTACTGAAGGTGTTTATTCTTCCCGAAGGTGTTTATTCTTCCTGAGGGTGTTTATTCTTCTCGAGGGTGTTTATTCTTCCCGAAGGTGTTTATTCTTCCCGAGGGTGTTTATTCTTCCCGAAGATGTTTATTCTTCCTGAAGGTGTTAATTCCATGTTTCCAGGTCTGCTGGGAGTTGGGGATGACCTAGGAAATGTCTACATCTACAATGTTGCCACTCTGGCCCGGAAGAAAGCGTCTCCTTCTGATGACATTCTGTGCCCTTCTACGGTATGTTAACTTGGTACTCAAGTGAGACTGCTTCCTGGATGTGCCATAGAGATTATTATATGAGTGTGTGTGTGTGTGTGTGTGTGTGTGTGTGTGTGTGTGTGTGTGTGTGTGTGTGTGTGTGTGTGTGTGTGTGTGTGTGTGTGTGTGTGTGTGTGTGTGTGTGTGTGTGTGTGTGTGTGTGTGTGAGTGTGTGAGAGAGAGAGAGAGAGAGAGAGATAGAGATACTGATTTTACGAAACTGCTGTCAGAATTCTTGTATTTCCCAAGCTAGAGCGAGGGTAATACATGAATTCTTACACAAGTATCCTTTTGAGCTTCCCTTAACAAGAATGCACTGATCACCAGCGCTGTCCTAGAAAACAAAATTTGTCGAATGACATCAACAATCTTCAGCTATGATGTCGTTTCTAGTGTGATGTCATTCTGACGTTACGTCACAACAAGATTCATATGACGTCAACAATGCTGTCTAAATGATAGAAACAGTAACCTGGTGCGTGAGAAGTGATATTTGCCTAGTGCATATATGATTATTGTGAACTCGGTTATGTCTAACCCTATGGGTAATAAAGGGTTTTATGTCACCACTCAGTGTTTGATACAATCCCGGCAATCATATATACAGCTCCAGTAAGGGAGGGTGCATTGTGTGACTTGGCAGTTCAAGCTGGAGAGTCTTGTATATTTGTTGAAATTATGTCACCAAAGTGTTGTAACATGTTAGCACTTCCTAACTTGAGATATAAAACTGTTGGATGTGTTCATCAGAAGGGTCTGGGAGCCGCGTCATACCAAAAGACGTTAAAAGATGGTACTTGTTGTTACCCTGTCTGGCGCTCGGCATTGAGGGGCTAAAACAAGGACTGGTCGGCTCGGAGTCAGTATACTGTGTCTGAGTGGGGTATTCATGTTAAGCTGCGGCATTATATCTCAGTGTGATAGCATTATAAATCGGCATCAGTCCGGACTAGTTAAACCCCATTTCGACTCACCTCTATGATGACTGATAACTTGGCTGAGGCTGTCCCGCTAGATGAGAGAGTATGTTTCTGTGTTGCAGGTGATTGAATGGCCTGAGTTAATGGCCGACTCCCGGACTGGGATCGATGAAGAGTTGCTTCACAACAAGAAGGTAAACAGCAAACTCACCATTGTCTACATGTTGTATTTCCCCTGGGGCAGGATTGTTACCCAGTACCTTGCCTGTTAAAATTGGGCTCAGGTGGTCACAGTTTGTGATCAGTATGTCTGTGTGTCATCGTTCCCTGACAATGGAGTGTGGCTCATGCAGTCGACCCAGGGCTTGCTCCTTTCAAAAGTTCTCCCTTATCCAAACTATCTGGGCCAAAACTAAACGTTGGAGGCCATGACAGGGTGCTCTGAAAATGTCAGAACTCCTCACCCCTAAAACGTCTTTTCCTGCATCCGGAGATTAAGTGTTGGCTTCCATTTGCCTCATTTTGTGCTGATTTATAAGCAAATAAAGATGTTGTTACACAACATTACAAAATGGCCGTCGGTTTTGTCATTCCACCGAGATGATCTTTGAGTTAACCATTCATGCAACCTCATCCCCCCTAAATATTTTCTCATTGAAATTAAACATACACGGAGAAGGTGTGTACTTTACGTACGTTTGAGCAAGCCTTTTGTAATTTTAACTGGCCACAGGCCAACGGGCCAGCAGTTAGTCTGACTCAGTAACTTACAGGCCTCCGCGATACAGCTGGAACATTGCAAGCTGATAGATGAGACAACATCCTCCAAATCCTTTGATAAGTTGAGTGCAAAGTCACTGAAAATCAGGGGTTTTCTTATGATAGATTTCTGAAAGACGGCAAATATAAATATTGTGTTTATTACCCCTCCCTCTAGATAAAAGGGAGATCCCCACATGGTTGTGAAGGAAAATAGATTCAACAGCAGAGAATTTGAGTAGAATACCCCCAGGGTATGCAGAACCAAAAACATAGATTGGTTGGTTGGTTGTTTTGTTGTTAAAGCCGCACTCAGCAATATTCCAGCTATATGACGGTGGTCTGTAAATAATCGATTCTGGACCAGACAATCCAGCATGGGTTGATGAAGACCTATTCTACCCCGGAGAACAAGTGGATAGGATAGCTGATTTCGCATTTTTAACATGTTATGAAACTTCCTTTGTGATGGTAAACAGATGACATTTGTTAATTTGAAAACAAATACAGCAACTGCAAGTCATCTTTCATAGTTTTAGTGTGTAATGTGACAATGCTCGTGGCAGTATTTAGTTATGATAGAGGTCAACTGGCTTTTCACCTGATCATTAGCTCACCTTACTGAAAGTTGGGCTGTCAGGTATGTGGTTAAAGTGCTCGCTCGTCACGCCGATGACCCGGGTTCGATTCCCGACATGGGTACAATGTGTGAAGCCTGTTTCTGGTGTCCCTAGCCGTGATATTGCTTGAATATTGCTAAAAGCCGCGTAAAACCATACTTACTCACTCACTGATTGCTGAAAGTCAGGTTAGCCAAGATTGTGGAGTGTTATCGATCATTAGGTTGTCGGTCAATCCGTCGTTAACTGACACCCTGCTGAAGCTACAAGGCCTATGTGATGCTGTACAAATGATCCCAGTTATGGTGTCTATTAATGGTTCTTACAGCATTCCAAACGTTTGCATGGCCGCCATTATTTCCTCATAATTCAGGTGAGCTTGAGTGCCTTGTGGCTCTATTTGACTTCTCAGACAGTTATTTAATTGTTCAAGTATCTTATTTCCCAGCAAATCGTCGTGAATGGTGTATCCGTCAGCTCCAGCTCCGACTACATTGCATTTGGAACAGACAACAACCTAGTGTGTATACTGAAGAACACACAACGATGAACACCAAAGGGAAGTAACTCTCACTCGATGAACACCAAGGGAAAGTAACTCTCACACAACGATGAACAAGCTCCTTCCTAGCGCATGACACCTTTGTTACACTCTTGATCTTGAAATTTGCCCTCTAACCCCAAATATAGTAATGTTTATACTTTTGTTTATGTCTTTGGGAATGCAATCATATTTCATTTTGAAAAGGTTTACAACTGACCATGTTTTCCAGATGAATTTACTTTGTTTTAATAATTAGATTGGTTCGAGATTGCAGACTAGCGGAAAATCAACCAACTTCTCCCTTACATTCTTACTATATCAAGAACATGATAGTTTTAATGAAACAGAAATTCAAATTGACAAACAAAGAAAGTAATTTAGCAGCGATAAGTGTATTCGGCGTCACAACAGTTGTCACTTGTTTGTAATCATAATGGTCCGTCGGTTGCGAGTTCAACTCCAAGCATGGTTGTGGCCACCTATCACAGTTGGGAGTTATGACTGGCGGCAGCGATAGTATAGAGAGCTCCGCGAATGGGCTAACGCTGTGAGGAGCTTGAACGATGAACACCAAGGGGAAGTAACTTCCACACAATGATGGACACCAAGGGGAAGTAACTCTCCACTGAGTACTCTCATGACACAATCTCATTGAATTCAGAACTTTTACTCCGATACAAAACCTCTCTTGTGTGAAGAACTGACAACCTATACAAGATCACGTTTCGTGCTGAACTAATCTTATTGATTAATGCCTGGGCTTTTCAACCAAGCAGATGTCAGCTATTTAAAACGATTCAGTTTAATTTCTTTACCACTTTCAATCCTAACAGAAGAAAATCCACAAAGAACACAAATTCTTTTTGTGTGTATATCCCATGGCGCTCAGAAATGACAGGGTGTATAAAATACACAACAATATGATGGCTTAACCTTTTTCATGTACATTCAGAACTGAACGGTTAGTTTGTTTTCAAGATACAAAAATCAGAAATGTTGGTTCCTTATGGGAACTTTGAAGCCTCGACACTGATTGGCTGATTAGAAAGTTCACGTGACACAACCTCTTCCACAGAGAGGTATCGTAATGGATCAGATTTTGGTGATACTTTCATAAAAACATGCAGCCACGAAACATGAAAACCAAGGGAAAGTAACTCTTCATTTGCTGTGGAGACATTGTTGCTTGTCAAATAAAGTCAAGCAAACACAAGTACAGTCAAACACTGTTGTGTTGAACTTTGATGTGTCAGACTTACAGTTGTCTCAAAGTAAAAGCTTGGTCCCTGCTTATTCCTTCATTTTTGGGTTGTGTCTAACATCGGATACAACTTCAACACAACAGTGTTTGACTGTACTATAATTTGTTAAACTAAAATGGATTTTGTGTGTCCGTTTTTTGACATAAATTAAATATGACGAGATGGTTAAGGGCAATTTATGTTTACACCTTTTTTGTCTGTCTTGTTAGGTTTGAGGATTACCGTATTCGACTTAATAAGCATCAAGGGCGCTCTCAAAATTATTGATAGGGGGCTCGTTAGAACAATATTTTGGTGAAAAAAAAACGGAGCTGAAAGATGAATTTTGTGGTTTATGCTGACAGCCTGGAATGTTTATAGATGACAAATATATTTTTCCAGATTATAATTGCCCATAATTAAGAGTGCATATAGCACGTAAATATGTATTATACGCGAATAAATCAATCTTTTGTACAGTGATCAATCGGAAGGGGTACTAATTAGGATTGTTCACTAGCCAATATATTAGCAAATATCGCCGTGGGCGCTTATTACAGCGAATATGGTATTTAGGTATTATTTCCTTAGTTCAAGGAAAATGTTTATTTTATTTCAAACTCTTTTTAGAATGTTTTAACAGCTTTTGGATTTCTATGTTGTTTACAATTTTTAAACGATTGTTCAAGAAATGTTATTCTTTTAAATGTTTGCTGAGGAAAACATTTATTAAAAGTTGAGTAGATTTTTTGTCCAGTGTGTTAAGATACAGATGTTATGAAGTCAACATGTATGTGAGAAGCCTAATGGTTGTACTCCAATGTTTACTGATTGTATTGTTTATTGAATGGCTTCTCATGTTTTTCCAGATATATGTTTCACCAGAATTGTTCAAACAAAATCAACAACAAATTTTTAATCAAATTGATTCGCAAGGGTTGCGTGTCTGTGTATTCATGTGTGGCGTGTGGCTCCGTATGTGGTATGTGTCTGTGTCTGTGTCTGTGTCTGTGTGTGGTGTGTGTCTGTGTATATTTGAATTGTAGATCTCATAAGTGTTTTGAATATGGAAGCCCCATTACAATGATACGGCTTTAAAATAAAATCCCAGAAAACCCCAAGGTTGCTGTATGCAGATGAGCAATGTTAAAACATACCTGTTACCAGTTTCAGTGATCAAAGAGTTCACACGTTATTGAGAGTTGTATATGTCTTGTTTGTGGGAGGAGCAGTGTCCAGTGTTCCCTTGCCTTGCTTCAAGAGGAATAATGATTGTTAGCAATCATACATGCAGCAGTCAACAGTATTACTGGACACAGGTATAAACTCTCTCTGCATATATAAGTTATCCATATAATGGATATGCAGGATTAGTATTCAAATATCAATTATTTTTAGATATTGATACTATATAATGCAGGAGAATTATTTAAATATCAAATATATTAGATATTGATACAGTGTAATGCAGGATAAGTATTTATATATCAAATATATTAGATGTTGATATATGTACTATGTATTGCAGGAGAAGTATTTACATATCAAATATATGAGATATTGATAACATCCTGGCACAAGCTCCACAGAGATCGATAATCTTGATAGATTTACTAGTACATGTATATGAAAAAAATGTTTCTTAGGGATCTTATGGAGTCCCCTTCCTCCACCATGATCGACAGGCTCGCGTTGTGACAACTGGTCATATGTAGCTGTATCATCACATTGTGTTGAATTTACTGCCATGAATTTGAGAGAGATCCAGTCCTTGAAGATGTTGCAATTTACTGTGCAGAGTTGTGTACCTTAGGCGTACCAGGAACCGATGATCTTGGATTTGAATTCCAGATTCGCCCTGAATATTTTTCTAGGTTTGCCACCCCATACTTCTGCTTGTGGCTTTGACCACAGTGGCAAGCATCTATGACCTGCATCACTTTCATCCTAGCACTGATATAACTGAAATACTGTTCAAAGCAGTGTTAAACCAAATTCATTCACTCTACAGTTTCTAGATTGAATACAAGGTCGAAATAATACGAAGAAATGCTTACTAAAATAACAGGATTTTACCAGCTGAAGGTTGAGGGGTGTATGGGCACATTTACAAACTGACCAGTCAGATAGCTACATCTATAAGCTGTACAGTGTCAACTGTTATCATCCCTTATATATGCTACTCAAAATAAGTTAAAGAACATCCCCAATCGTAAAGCGGTAGTGGATTACCCATCAGCCACGACCGGTTAACTAGTCACAACGAATATTGGCTGTTCCTTCACTTCTTTTGAATTGTGGGGGCACGGTTGGCCCAGTTGTCTAAGGCGCCGCGATTCGCTGTGCAGAGTTGCGTCCCTTGGGCACGCCAGAAACCTATAATTGTTGGTTCGAATCCCAGTTCGCCCAAATTATGTTTCTAGGTTTGTCATCACCATACCCGTGCTCGTGGGTTTCACCGAAGTGGTAAACGTCCGAGACCTGCATCACTTTGGGCTTTCCGCCCACGTTAAGCTGACATGCCGCGATATAACTGGAATACTGTTAATAGCGGCATTAACCCAACCCACTCACTCTTTTGAGTAATATATGTTAATGAAGAAGTTGAATGTTGTTTGGATGCTGGTGCTGCCGCCTGACTGACTGCTGTATGAAGTGGCTAGGAGAGATGAATAAATACAGATGTTGTACAGAGGGCGATGATGGAACCAAGTTGTTGTCAGTACTGGGCTGTGCAATAAATACATTTTAAACAATGTTTGTTCTGTTTTGAACTACTGACTGAAACCTGGTTAATCTGGACAATCTACCATAAACCTGGTTCATCTGGACCATGCTACAGATTCTGGACTGATCCAACAAACTATAAAAAGTGCCAGAACACTAAAACATTAAGAGATTGAATGAGATTCGTGATGTAACAATGATTTCCTTCTTTTCCATTTCATCCCATTTGCTCGTAAGAGAACTCAAGACCAACACAACAATCAATAATTGTGTATTCAAAGCTACTGATACATTCTTCAGTCAGGAATATCTGCTTTGGGTATGTGTTTATGTCCATTGACTGTTTGCTGAATTTTCCTGTGGTGGCTGTATGGATTTTTACATACATGTGCTTTTTCTTGGTCGTCGTGCCAAGGGAGAGCACTTGGCCCAAACTGGGTTATTTGTGTACCACTTAATTACTCATCTCAAACACAATTCATCTTAATGTGAGCTTTAAGTAGAGGGATTCAAAATTGTTGCAGAAAGTTATCTCCCTTCGACTGTGATGGATATAAAATGTTTTCATATCAAGATGTTTTAAAGGTTTATCATTTTTTACAACATGTACAAAGAATACACAAGGGGCCATAGTTACAAACATTCTCAGAATTAGGAGTGACTTTTAAGTGTAGAAAGAATTGAGAATTCTCTAAAAATTTCTCTTACAAAGTTAGAATTGTCTTAAGACCTAGTTATAAAAAGCCCCTTCAGACTTAAGTTTACTCTTGGAGTGAGCGAAACTTAGTCCTCACAGAGCTCTAAATAATTAAGAATTTTCTTAAGTCTACAAAATGGCTGCCGTGTGACATTGCAGCCATTGGAGACATTTTCAAGAACAGAAATATGGTTTATCACCATGTATAATCAAAAGAAGTGCAGTAGCACTTGGGCTGAAAATTGCAATTACAATCAATCACCTTGCACTATTCATCAACATGTTAAATGGATGACAGGATCAGCAGTGTCATAATTCTACCTCTGAATCTAAAGAGTGCTCACATTTCTAAAAATAGCATGGGGATTTCCCTGGTCATGATTACAATCCAAACAAAGAGTTGCTCTCACAGTTTTACTCAGTTAAAAGTTACACTTAGAACTATTATCACTACACTCTTAAATGTAACTCTCAGCTAATGTTCTCAGTAAGGTAAGAGTATTAATGAAATGAGAATGTTTCTAACTACGGCCACAGGTCTTACAATTGTATTTTTGGTAATATGTCCCCACATTTAGCTGATATCTTGAGCTGAGCCAGATCGTCTGCTCTGGTTCTTCCTATGTTCACAATAGCGACTGGTTTACTCTCGTTGTGGGCCCTGTTGACAAACCGATAGCCAGAATACACCTGAAACAGCAGGTCAGTCAAATGGAGCAACATGGAAATGTATTTTACATACTGGCGCAGTAAAGTAATTACCAATTCAGTAAATAACATTGACAAAAATACCGGTGACCCAACTCAAGAACTATTGAGTGGCAAATCCGTGAAGATCCGTGTTACAATAGGTCTTCAGCTACCCATGCTTGCTGTAAAAGGTGACTATGCTTGTCATAATAGGGAACTAACGGGATCGGATGGTCAGGCTCGATGACATGGTTGATGCATGTCATCGCATCCCAACTGTGAGGATCGATACTCATGATGTCAATCACTGGATTGTCTGGTCCAGACTCTATTATTTAAAGACTGCCGTCATATACCAGTAGCTGGAATATTGCTGAGTGTGGCGTTAAACAACAAAGAAAGAACGAAAGAAAGAAAAGTTAATTGCAACACTCAGAAGCCACTGACATCACCTGACCCCTACTTAAACACCCTCCAGGACAGACAAGGGAGATAGTTCTATGGATATACAACTTCTTTATTACAATGAATACAAAGTTTCAGTGTAGATTTGAACCCTGTTATCAAGCAAGTGTGATAACAGTGTTAGTATCTACACAGAGACGTTGAATTCATAATGACAAAGGAGTTGTATATCCATAGAACTATCTCCCTTGTTCTTCACACCAACTTCTAAATGCCACTTAAAGAAGTTACCCTACACGACTTTGGAACGTGGATAAACATTTTGATATGACAAGCCCCTGGCCCCGTGTAATAACGTACCTCCAAGGATGAACCTATTACAAGTACTGCATCACTTTCAGAGACTTTTCTAAAGACGAGGTCCACAATGTGTCGAGCAACGTTGTCTCCAAAGAATATTATCTCAGGTTTGAGAACTCCACCACAGCTGTCACATGACGGCACCTTAAAAGAAAAGATTCGGGGTAGAATAAGTCTTCAGCCACCCATGCTTGCCGTAAAAGGCGACTGTGCTTGTCGTAAGAGGCGACTTACAGGATCGGGTGGTCAGGCTTGCTGACTTGGTGGAGCATGTCATCGTATCCCAATTGCGTGGATCGATGCTCATGATATTAATCACTGGATTGTCTGTTCCAGACTCAATTACTTACAGGCCGCCGCTGGAATATTGCTGAGTGCGACGTTGAACAACAAACAAACCACACCAAACTTTAAAAGATGGACATGACAAAAAGAAATTTAAAAACATAAATATATGACAAGTGTTTTATAAATGTAAAATCTAAAATAGATTATGTACACGTACTGGACAGAAAATAAAACGGAAGTGAGCGATGTTCCCTCTATGTATTGTACAAAAGTGTCTGTATTGAAATTTGTTGCCTTCATGGTGCATTTAGGTAAGATGTCATTTCACTTGAAACATATTGAAAAATTTATTTAATTTAGTCAATAGTCAAACATGTTTGTACTTGACACACAAGAAATCAAATGTCTGAAGCCACTGACCCCTCCCTTTTGAATGTATCTGACCATTAGCAATCTCGTACCAGAGATACAGACTTGTTTGTTTAACATCACACTGCAATATTGAACCTTTATGAAGACTGCTTGTAACATAATTGAGTTTTCACCACACAAAACCAGAGATTGATATTATCAGCAACAATCCATGGCACTGAGACGAAATCAAATAAGTTACCAAGTCTGACCACCAATCCATTACGTCACCTCTTGTGACCACCATATGTTGGTTGGGACCTATTCTAACCCAGAATCCCCACAAGGTCAGAAATAAACAGCTTTCCTTATTAAAAGTGTTAAAATAATTCTCTGGGTACTGTCTGTTATGAGAGCCAAGAACATTGCTTACTTGATCCAAGCATTTATATCATATTATATTAAACATGTACAGCCATTTCATAACCAAGTTTGGGCGGTCGGGTAGCCTGGTGGTTAAAGCGTTCACTCGTCATGCCGAAGACCCAGGTTCGATTCCCGACATGGGTACAATGTGTGAAGCCCATTTCTGGTGACCCCTGCCGTGATATTGCTGGAATATTGCTAAAAGTGGCGTAAAACCTCACTCACTCACTCATAACCAAGTTAAACTGAATATAAGGTGATAACAAATTAAACGATTGTAGGTACTCAGGGACAAGAACATGGTTTGAGGCTGTGTGTTTTGTTCGAGTTGGAATGGATATCTAATAATTATACAGAGCTCCAGATAAGCTGCGTATCTGCGTGAAATATGCATCAGAAATGCAGAAATACGCAGTAAAATAAAATCCCAGCGTATCAAATACGCAAAGAACATTACAGATACGCTACAAAAATAAAACTTGTGCGTATCATCAAAATATTGTGAAGTAACCCTGCGTATTCGATTAGCAAATCAGCAACTTATTTTGAAATTATAAACGGGCATTCCGTCAACCTTGCCAAACTCCACGATGACAGTTACATCATGATCATTTGCCATCCCACTTTCTTGTGGAAGTATCGTGGTATTTTTGAGTCCTATAAAGCTCTCGAACCCACACAACACCAGTTTGCAGGGACTAGATGAATAGTGTTTTTAAATATTTAACATAAATACCCACATGTGTAAAAACTAGTGGGTAACAGAAATTTGAATACCCAGATAGAATTACTGATACCCAATGATTTTAAAATGCATGGGTAAAATATCCACAAGCTCTGGAGCTCTGATTATATTCCTCTGATCAAACAAAAAAACAAACTATTACCTGAAAGCCTTGGACTTGTTCAGCAGACAAAGCCACATCACCATCAGGGGCCATCTCAAAAGACTCTGCATGCCATTTAGGGTTTCTGGCTTGAATCAGCTCCTGCATTTCGTGTCTCGGCAAGACCTTCCGACATGACAGACACTCCACCCTGTGTGCACTCCCATGTAACTCGGTCAGCTGTGTACTGCCAGCTTTGTAGTGCAACGCATCAACATTCTGTGTCACCAGCCACGACACCTTTCTCTTCTTCTCCCAAGAACTTAAAGTCAAATGGGACTTGTTTGGTGAAAAGGAGGAGAACCGGGGCCATCCTACAAAATTCCTTGCCCAGTACCGCTGACGGATCTTTGCGTCTTTCAAAAAATCTACATACTGTACAGGTCTGTTGGAGCTTGTGGCATACAGACCTACTCCCTCAGACCTGTAGTCGGGAATTCCACTTTCAGTGGAGATTCCTGCCCCTGTTAATACAAGGAGGCGTTCACTCCTGTCCATAAACTGCTGTAAAGATTCGATCTCTTCCTCTGAAACTGGTTGGCTGTTTGGAACAAACTTTGTTGACGTTGCAACTTTTGATGGCATTTTGGAAGAATTTGAAAACTGTCGAAAACACAGTTGGCAACATTTCAGAATCTTCGAACTATTGTGAGGTAGTGAGATGTTCAATACTGACATTTCTTTCTTGTGTAGTTGTAAACGAGGTTTTCCATCTGTAATAAAAGTATACTTAAATTATTTGGAAAAAATAACCTGCGTTATAAATAAAGAATCTCACCAGAGTGTCTTTTGATATCAAATATATCAACACAAGTGGATAAAAGTGGAAATATTCCGAGGCTTGCCGAGGATTTTTGCCACTTTTATCAACGAGTGTTGATATATTTGATATCAAAAGACACGAGGGTGAGATTTTATTTATCATCCAACATCATTCTTCCAACTTTTTCAATTTGTAGACAGTAATTAGCAGTGTCTTCAGTGTAAAAAGTACTGCTAACAGCTTCAGTAGCAGAGCCATTAGAGATGTCATTTGATTGTGACGTCATGGTAACCAGTGACATCACAATGGTCTGCAAAGCATTGTGATGTAATTTCATTGCAGCGATATCTACAGTGTAGATATCGCTTGATCTAATCCAAGCGCTATCTTCCGTGAGAGCCAGTTTTGGATGATAATATTGAGTTATCAACGGCACCATGACAAAACAAAAATACTTATGTCGACTCTTTTGTCCAGTGACTTGACACGGGCAGCCTTTGACATTTCACGATAATAATTGTTTCTAGATTCCACCAAGCCTCACAGTTTCAAGTGATGTGTATTTTGGGGTAAATCCATATCAGAACGTACGCTATGGACCACTGAGATTTGTTTTAACCATGGACCCTAAATATAGTATTAAGTGTCCATGTTTTAACTTACACAACACTACGGTGCTCAATGTCAAAACAAGAGACGATTAGAGTTATCTTCCTTGCCATAGCAAAGCTCCATTCCAGCGCGTGCCACCTTCTCTAAACTACCAGGAAAAGCGGCATCGCTGTAAGGAACTTGAACTAATCAACACGTGAAGGCAACCAAAACAAAACGAAAGGGTGGACATATTATGTTTTGGTTAATGGCTAATGTATCAGTGATTACTTAATACAACCACTTTTAATGTCTTTGCAGTCTTTAACGTCATGGATATCAAAAATCAATAACTCGCGAACTGTCACTGTAGTAGTGGCAATACTTCAAGATTCCCACACAACCATTAACGCACCTGTCACAAGTGAGCATGCAGCCTCTTTTTCTAAAAGCAAAAGTAGTAGCTATACGTGTCGGTATTTAAGCGTTTCAAGATTAGGCCGGTTGCAGCAACAGTTTCTACCGTGTATCACCAAGAAGAACTTCTTACATACTTCACTTGAGGGAATGGAACTGAAAAAGGTTGTAAACATTCTCAACCAATTTGCAAACACTAGTTTGGCGGAGAGTTGGGACAACGTGGGTCTCCTCACTGAACCCTCCGCCCCACACAGCGTGAGGACCATTCTACTCACAAATGACTTGACCCCGCTGGTCCTGGATGAGGCCATAGAGAAGAACGCGGACATGATTCTGTCCTACCATCCCCCCATCTTCTCCCCCATGAAGAGGCTGACGCAGAAGTTGTGGAAGGAGAAGCTGATTGTGAAATGCATTGAGAAGAGAATCGCCATCTACTCTCCACATACGTGTTACGATGCTCTCAGTGGAGGTGTCAATGACTGGCTGATCAGTGCATTTGGTGAGACATGATCAGGAAACATGATCTTCTCTGTCACCAGTGACCAACCTCCTCAATTATTTTGGGTATTCGATATCTTTTTTGGAGAGGTATTGAAAGACCACAGACCTATATAGAAGGACAATATTCGGGGTATTATATCTCATGGGTGGATACAGAGGGGGGGTGTGGGGGTGTGCACCCCCCCTTTTTATTTCGAAAAGAATCTTCTTCTTTTTTGTATAAATTACCACCAAAGATAATAAATAGATCTTAATTGTGCACCCCCCCTTTTCAAAAAAGCTGTATCTGCCCATGTATCTCATTTGTATTATAATAAATACCCTGGAACCATTAATTACGATAGCTTTGTTTAAGAAATGACACCACCCCCTCAACTGCTCCCTAACTTCACAAGAAAGTAATTTGATTGGATGGCTTTTTTTCACTGTTGTGCATTTCAAATCAGGCTCAATGGTAGCAAATGGGTCCAGGGTATTTGTCATAGAAGACTGGAGATAAAATACCTGGATAGTCTTGGAGGAGTCACCATGTTCTATCATTACATATCAGCTTGTGGATGTTGTAGTTTCAAGGTAAAGCAGCAGGAACTAGCTTTTAATAACAGGGCGACTAAACTTAGTCCAAAGTGCAGTTTCAGCAATTTTGAGTCAGACATGCAAACCCCAATTTGTTATCTAACTTAGACTTTATGATATACAATGTATGTATCCTGCTGTGGGGATTCCGGGTTAGAAAAGGCCCCCACCAACATTCGCTTGTAAGAGTGAGTGAGTGAGTGAGTGAGTGAGTGAGATTGGTTTTACGCCGCTTTTAGCAATATTCCAGCAATATCAGGGCGGGGGACACCAGAAATGGGCTTCACACATTGTACCCATGTCGGGAATCGAACCCGGGTCTTCGGCGTGACGAGCGAACGCTTTAACCACTAGGCTACCCGACCGCCCCTCGCTTGTAAGAGGTGACCATGGTGACTGAATGGATTGGGTGTTGATCCTTGGTGACTTGGTATATTGATAGTCCTACAAATTGAGGTAAAATGTCCTACAATTGTTTATGGATATATTGTAGACATGAAGAACACTAAGCCAGTGGAGCAGAGTGAAGGCTGCGGGGAGTTTGGTTGTCAGGTAGACATTGTCACGGAAACAGCTGGTGCCTCCAAGCTTGTCCTGGCACTCACAGACAAATCCATACCCAGGAGAATCACCACAAGCGCTCTGTGAGTAAATGACAGACAGACAGACATGTTTTATTGCATTTCAGGCCACATGACCAAAGTACAAATAGTATTACAAATACTTTTAGAGTTACCACTTCTCTCATATTGACTTATATTATGCATATAAAAATTTAATGAGGTTTAAGCAAAAGAAAATACATTCGAGAAACTTAGTAAATGGAACTAAAATATTGATATCTTTTGAGGTACACAAACTTTTTAGTGAGTAGTACTGGTTATTGCTTAGTCTTGGTAGTAAATCCTCACGCTTATCATCATAGAACATGCATACAAATATGTGCTTCATCTTCAACTGATCCACAATGTTTACAAAGAGTCTTAGGATCACCTAAACGCAATATTCTTTTTCGGTAATATTGTATACCCAAATTATTACATCCAGATCTGAATTAAGTTAACAATCTTTTCTGTAAATATGATAACCGCATAGATAAATATAGTTCACAATCTAACAAAGATTTTTGCGTTTTGTAAAATGACAATGCAGAGGAATCTTAAGACGAGTGCCATTCTTGGGAGGAACAAGTATACAATCTCTCTTTAAATTGGTTTAAAAATAATTCGGTATCTCCAACATTTTGAGAGATCCATACTATACCATAGACATATCTAAATAACAGATCGCGTACATGTGTTGCCCAATTTGGACGTTTTCTATCGATAATAGATAACAGTGATAAATAACATTGACATGGATACCTATCTACATTTGTGAGTAAACAACCCTTTAAGGCCCATGGGGATAGGTCCTTTTCAGCCTACACTTGTCATAATAGGCGATTTAATGGATAGGCTGTTCAGACTTTCTGACAACGTACCCTGATGGCATGGATTGCTGCTCTTGTCAGTCACTGGTTTGTCTGGTCCAGACTTGATTGTTTACAGGCTGCCATCATATAGAGCAAATATTGTGTGGCAAACAAATATGGCAGTGAGTGATGCAGCTTTTTATCTTTCAAAACTGATGCCAATTTCTAATGCTGAGAATTATGCTTATGTGTCATCATACTCCCATGTAGGGGTGTCACGATAAATCGAAATATCGATGTATTGTTATTGGTAAGCACTTAAAGTCAATAAATAGATTGTTAAATCAGTTTCCGATCACTATTATCGATTTCAGTTAGGAATATTGATAGTTTCGATTGTACATGCAATGCTGTTCAAATTTGTTTTTCTTTTGATCATGAGTGGTAGTAATTTACACATGGTAATGTGGAAGTTTCTTTTTCTTAAATTATTAGGGTAAAGAAAAAACAAATCAGTCATATCTCAAACCTTACTTTTTATTTGTTGTTATGGTTATCACATTCAAAGGAAACTTCAGTTCCAAGGTTTAATTCAACTCTAAAATCCATCTAAAATGATACACTGAAAACTATCAATATTTATCGCAATAGTTGCTTGCAATATCAATAGTTATCGCAATAGTGATTTCCAGACCAATAGTCACCTCCACTGCCATGCTCCCATGCCCCCAGTGACTATACAGTATTGATGAGAACCCAACTCTCAGTTGTGTCTTAAGTAAGTCGGCCATGGGTGGCCCAGTCATCTAAGGTGCCACAATTTGCTGTCTAGAGTTGCCTCCCTTTTGCATGCTTAAAACCTATGATAAATTGTTTGAATCCCTTATTCACCCTGATGATGTTTCTTGGTTTGTAAGCACTATACATGTCGATTTCACCAAAGGGTTAGGTCTGTATTACTTTGGGCTTTCCTGACATACTTTTTATGAATGAAATACTGTTAAAAAAACAAGCTCACTCATTTGGACGGGTACCCAACTCTCAACTGTGCCCCTGTGCACTCATAGTGAGTTGTCATACTGAATGGTGCAGTGGTTTTCAATTACACCCCTGGAATACTTACACTGGGTGAAGGTTTAAGGTGTTTGAAGGTTTCCATACTATACAGACTTGTGAAGATCCGGGGTAGAATAGGTCTTCAGCAACCCATGCTTGCCGTAAAAGGCGACTATGCTTGTCGTAAGAGGCGACTAATGGGATCGGGTGGTCAGGCTTGCTGACTTGGTTGATGCATGTCATCGATCCCAATTGCTTGGATTGATGCTCATGATATTAATCACTGGATTGTCTGGTCCAGACTCGATTATTTTCAGACTGCCGTCATATAGCTGGAATATTGCTGATTGCGGCGTTAAGCAACAAACCAACCAACCAATACTGTTCAACACATTCAAGACACTGGTTATATTACTGTTTACAAACAAAAAAAAGCTCAAAGATTTTGGATGATAAAAAGAATCTGACCCGATTGTCTTTTAACATCAATCTTCCTGAGGCAAGGGCGTTAACTGACTATAAAAGTCCAGTTTCCACCCTTGCTGAACAAGGCTGAAATTTCCAGGCTCGATCGTAGTGCCTACTCGGTGAATGTTGGTGTCTGAAGGTTTCAATACTGTTCAACACATCTGTTTTATGAAAGGGCATTGCATGAGAAGACCGAGCAAGACGTGACCCGAGTGAGTGTGTCATGCTGCAAGAGTGACGTCCCTCGGCTGGTGGACAGTGCCCAGTCCCACCAAGGGGTGGTCAGTATAGAGAAGCGGCAGATAGAGAAGGTAAGTTGATCAGGAGTCTACGTTAAATTGGTCCACAGCAACAGTCAATCTCATTCAAATCAGACCCTAGTTCTTGCTACAGCTAAACAAAGCTCTGAAGACATCCCATTACTGGTCCCGTCAAAATGACCTTTTTTCCGGCCAGTCAGAACGTCGCTTACCAGATCATGAAAGTGACAGTTGGAATGTGTTTTCTAATCATGCAACCTCGAGACATTTAAGGGGTATCCTAAACGACAGTTATGGGCTTTATGACTGAATCCATACAATCTTGGTCATCTATTAGCCATTCCAGAATGTTCTTTTGTTCAGTTTTCAAATATTTAATCAAGAATTTGTCAAAATATGTTTCAAAGCTTAATGGCCAGTTTGAACATTTATAGCATTAGAAAGCTGCCTTCTGATTGGCTAATGTCAACTTCTTGTCATTCATACCATTGGTCAGTCAAAATTTGTGAAAGGTCGGTCTGACATGACCCGTAATGGGATGTCCTCAGATCTTTTTTAAACTGTATAGCAAGAACTATGATCTGATTTTATTTAACTTACAGCAACAGTATAACGAATTGAGGTTGTGCATATAAACTGCAATATGAAAGGCCAATACCCATCACTACCAGCAATATGACAGCTGTATGATGGCATCTTATAAACAATTGAGTCGGCCAATCCACTGTTAGAAAATGTGTGTATTTATAAGTAATTATCCATGCTGTTAGGATATGTTGTGTTCGTGTGATGTAATTATCACTTCAGAATGGGGTGACTTTTTAAAATTTCAAACCAGGAAACCCACGAAGATATTTAGTAAGAGATTTAATAGTGAATTTCCTAAACGGTTGACAGTGAAATAATCCTGTTTGTCAATTGTCACGTACACACGTTTTGTCGGTCAGCTTCCACTGGTGGGCTATGGCATGGGCCGTGTAGGGAAACTCACTTCACCCCTCACTCTTGGAGAAGCTGTAGAGAGAGTGAAGACTCATCTTGGTCTGGAGCATGTCCGGCTGGCGTCTGCATCTGGTCAGTATACAGGACGCGCCTTAAATGCTGTGTGGACATTTATTATACCCCCGACCTTTTAGGTCAGGGGGTATATAGTTATACCAATGTTCCGTCCGTCCGTACGTCTGAAAACTTTGTCTGCACGATTTCTCTTAAACTTTTCAGTGGATTCATCTCAAACTTAGTACATATAATCTGTGTCATATGGAGGGGTGCAGTCAAAAGAAATGAATGAATTTTTCAAACCTTAACCCTATCCATTATTTAATTTGAAACTACTGACACACTAGGCGGGTCCGGCTTATCAGAGAGCCATGCTCACTTTTGCCCTTGTTAATTAATAATTCAAATCTTCTATTCTGTGGGTTCAAAATTAAATGTATGACTGTGCAAACGACACAGTTAAAATAAGTACCTGGTGCCTGAAGGGACATGGTTTTTAAGCAGATATGTGTATAATATATAGCCAGTGATGAAAACACTTTCACAAAAGTAAACTGGGCAGTCCTTTGGAAAACAAACATAGTAATATATTTATGAGTCACAAACTTATCCGGGGGATACTGTAAGAATCGGTTGGTGCAAAGAACAAAGATGCCATCATAGGGTTGACAAGGCTTGACCAGACATTGAGGAAGTCTCTAGCACTACACTACATTGTTTATGGAGTGCTTTGTTATGTGATGTCATTGCAACACAGGCATGAGAAAGAGATCGGAGATTAACGTGGGTTTTGTTTTCCCTTGACTGCTGTTCCCGGAATAATCCCGTGTAGGGAACCTGAGGGGACGATTTGACGAGAATATGTCACTTTATTAAATCAAGGGACATCCTCGCAATAGATTCCGGGGTAGAATAGGTCTTCAGCAACGCATGCTTGCCGTATAAGGTGACTATGCTTGTTGTAAAAGGTGACTAACGGGATCGGGTGGTCAGGCTCGCTGACTTGGTTGATGCATGTCATCGATCCCAATTGCGTGATCGATGCTCATGATGTCAATCACTGGATTGTCTGGTCCAGACTCGATTATTTACAGACCGCCGTCATATAGCTGGAATATTGCTGAATGCGGCGTTAAACAACAAACCAACCAACCAACATCCTCGCAATAATTTCATTATTTATGTTACTGGTATTTGGTTTGTACAGGCATTGACAAGGTCGGCTCCGTGGCTGTGTGTGCAGGGTCTGGATCTAGCGTTCTGCGTGGGGCCAAGGCCGATCTGTTCGTGACTGGGGAGATGTCACATCATGATGTTCTCAACGCCGTCAGTAATGGCATCAGCGTCATTCTGTGTGAGCACACCAACACAGAGAGGGGCTATCTCAAAGAGCTGAAAGGGAAATTTTCCAGCCTGATGTCAGATCAAGTGCAGATCCTAGTGTCAGAGACCGACTTAGATCCATTGAAAACTGTGTAATGAAAACGAAAATACAAACCGTAAAATATACCGAGATGTTAACTTGTATCAGATCCTTTGAAAACTAAATAATAACGAAAATACATGTACCAGGGCTGGATCCTATGCATGTATGATTGTGAATTTATGAGTGTGTGTTTGTTATTTAACGCCACCCTCAGCAATATTCCAGTTATACGGCGGTGGTCTGTAAATAATGGAGTCTGGACCAGACAATCCAGTGATTGACATCATGGTCCACACAAATGGTATCGATGACATGCATCAGGCAAGGCAGCAAGCCTGACCACCCAAGCACCATATATGGCAATCATTGGTTGCTGAGGACTTATTCTATCCCGCATCTTAACGGGTCTTGTGTCATCGTACAGCAAAGACTGGAGGAATGCTGCTCCTATATCAGTCACTGGATTGTCGGGCCTTGGTTGTTTGTTTACAGTTGGAATATTGCTGAGTGTGGTGTTTAACGACAGTCGAAATGATTCGTTGACTAATACAGCTATACGCTGCACAGTACATGAGTCGCACTCAGTTAGAAGCATTGCTTTTATATATATATATATATATATATATATATATATATATATACATATATATACTCATATATATATATACACATATACATATACACACACACACATATATATATATATATATATATATATATATATATATATATAAATATATAAATGAGGCAAATGTTCACTTGGTGTACATGTAATATTTAAATAAAATAATAAAGTCCACGTTAGTCCATCATCTTCTTTATATCAGTTTCAGACATAGTACTTTCACTGTCTCATGACAACAATTCAGTGTAACTAACGTGGACTTTAATATTTTATTATATATTACATGTACATCGAGTGAACATTTGCCTCATTTTTGAGCCTCATATATATATAATGTATATTGTTGCCATGGAAACTATATATATGTATAGAAGACTAGTTGACATATTCACAAAGGGGGATATCGATGACTTTGTCCTCTTGTGTTTATTGACATGGCAATGATGGTGAAGTATTATTGTCTAACAAAGAACAAAGACAACATTTCATGATGTATGTTTTAATGCAGCAAACTACACATTTGCAAACATGAAAATGAGACTTGACGTATCCAGGAATACTGCAATGTTGCATCTTGACAAAGATGCTAAGGACATGGCGATATCAGGATGATGGATTCAAAAGATCATCAATCTAATTAAAGTCTGATCATGACATGCTTGGTACTCGCTACAGCTACATAAGATCTGAGGACATCCCACTACAGGACATAATTGTTGGAATGACTTTTTGTCAACTTTGACCGACCAATGAAATCACCAACATGAATTGACATTAGCCAGTCAGAAAGCAGATTTCTCAAGCTTTATGGCACAAGTTTCAAAATGCGACTTCCATTCCAGACTATGCTTTGAAAAACATTTTTGACATAGTTTTTTATTCAAATTTTGAAAACTGAACTAAAGAAAATTCTGGAATGTCTAATAGTACATGGCTTTGGATTGTCTCTTCTGTTTCAAATGAAAGGTCGTTCTGACGTGACCTGTAATGGGATGTCCTCAAATCTTTGTGTAGCGGTAGCGAGAACTAGGATCTGATTTTAATGACATTGGTTTATAAATATTCTCTGCAGTGATCACAAGTTTAAACATCTGTAGCTGACATTAGTGCCGAGAGAGTGAGTGAGTGAGTGAATGGGTGGGTGGGTGGGTGGGTGGGTGAGTGAGTGAGAGAGAGAGGTCTGGCTACACGCTGCCTGGAACACTATGTAAAGTACATCTTCCCGAGGCAAGGGAGTTAACTGACTATAAAAGTCCAGTTTCCACCCTTGCCGAACTAGGCTGGTATTATGGAGTTACATTTTGGCTGGGCTAATGAGTCTATGCATAGTCCAATCAAAATCACGCAACGAAATTGAAATTCGGTTCGTAAACTGTCGTGCTGATTTCCATCGATTGGAGGATTTGCAAAACCTGTGCTCCTCCAACTTGTTGTCAACAGATATTTTACAAATCTTTTCAGGATTTTAATCAAGGTGCTCACATGATTTGATGCACTTTGCGATGTAAGACTCGTTTTATCACAATATAGATCTTGATTATCGATCAGATCCTCTTGACTGTTTGCCGCCATTTTGTTTGAATCAAATGCAAGTGATACGAGAGATTTAGAAGGGTCATAACTCGTAATAACCACTGGTGGCGCAACGATTGAGCACGGGAATTCCAGCCTAGTTCGGCAAGGGTGGAAACTGGACTTCTAAAGTCAGTTAACTCTCTTGCCTCGGGAAGATGGGTAAAGTATATCCGGCACGGGAGAGGAAAGCAAGAATGAAGCAAAGAAGCTGGAATTGAACCCTTGACTATGGGACACAACTCTGCGCACCAGATTGCGGTGAATAGATAACTGGGCACCTGTGGCCACACATGGGATGTCAACAGATCTAGATCTTTCAGCTGTTGGACAACTCTTGTTAGTACATGCAAATAGCATTAAGTGATTACAGTTTACAGTTAAGAATGTCCTTTGCTGAGACTAATAATTTACCTTTAAGTAGCATGGAGTCCTCCAGATGCACTGATCTACATCCACATTGATCTACACCCTGACCACAGAAATCTCATCAAACAATAACGAAGGACACATATAAACAACGATGAATAAATACCACACCACTGAAATTTATGTTGGTGCAATTTACAAATAACAAGAACAAAATCATACACTTAGCCGTTTAAAAAGGTAATGCTTGCAGTGAAGTAGCACATCTGGAAATGAAACAACTTGACGGGAGATAACAAAGAACATTAGCTCACTACATTAATTGCCAATTTAAGACAATCTTGACCAATCCTCAACCAACATCTAGGATCCAGTGTGATATATCTCCATTCTCTTGGGACAAATATCCTTGACTATTCACCCCCAAGGCTTCATTTCAAGTTAAATTTGCATGACATGATGCTAAAAATAGCCATACAGTCAAATTACTGTTTTCATGAATGAACAAAAGCAGTATCACCAGTATACCACTTGCGTTATTTTGAATCATCTTCAATACAGCTGGGAATGATGTTAATTCTATAACCTTCTGAATACCAGGGAAATGTCTTTCGCAGCTTAGTGAGTGAGTGAGCGAGTATGGCTTTACGCTGCTTTGAGCAATATTCCAGCAATATCAGGGCGGGGGACACCAGAAATGGGCTTCACACATTGTACCCATGTCGGGAATCGAACCCGGGTGTTTGGCGTGATGACCAACGCTTTAACCACTTGGCTACCCGACCGCCCCTCGCAGCTTAGACATCAATTTGATTGAAATACAGTTTAAATTCGAACTAAGCCAAACTCTCAATCAGAAAGAAATTTAATTGGTTCATTTCAAACTGATGCTCATGAGAACATCTTTGCTAAGTAGGCGATACGAGAATTGGAGATGGTGGTGTCACTTCCAATACAAAGCTTTGGTGGCCAATAGGTCCAGAGTATTAACATATTAAACAGGAGAAAAGAAAACCTGGATGACCAGGGATGCAAGAAGAAGGGCTCAAAAGTCAGCTGTTCTGTGTTGCTTGATGTAAATCCCTAGATCCTGTTTCATACACACCAGACGGAGAAAACTGCAAGACATCATGAGGGCCCCATTGATGACAAGAATTTGAAAATTTGAACATTAAATTTGATAATAAGGGTGTCTATTTACAAAGAAAATCAGGCTTTCAACTGAAGTTTTGATAAACCCTATTTAAGCACATGAAGCATCTTCCTCTTTTATTACCAAGGCCGTGATTAACTTTTTTTGACGGGGGGGGGGCGGCAAATATTTGTACAAGTATCACTTGTCCCCAACTTGTATTTTCATGATTCAAATAAAACTTTTTTCTATAAAAAAAATCCAGGGGGGGGGCACTGATTACCATGGTTACTTTGTCCATTCATAAAAAAAAGAAAAATAGTTAAAGAAAGGGGCACAATATGTGGACAAAATACAATGTACAATACAATACAATTACCACTGTTTAAGCCCCCAGAACCTTGGTAGTATGTCTTTCATATCCTGAAGATTAAATTAACATTGAACCCAACTACTTTCAAAAGTCGAGAATGATTTGGTAAGTCTTGATTTCCTCCACAAATATAGCCTTGTTCTGGGCTCCATTTGAAAGTTACTTTATATTTGGTAGATATATAGTTTGAAATAAGATAACTTTACTTGTGGGGCTAAATGTTAGTAAGATATGCTTCAGCTACTGTTTCCTTAACAACAACTGTTTGAGAACAAGAATGAACAAGCCTCACAGTGTTTGACTGCCAATATGCACTAGCAGCATTAAAATAATAGGTGAATCAAAAACAAAATACTAGTCAAAAGGACAGTATATAAATACATAAAACATGACTTTTCTTTGACCAGTTGAAACAAAATATAAACAGATATTATACAATATGATTCAAAACAGGACACAACACATGCACAACATGATTCAACACACACACAATGTTGGTCAATACAACATGATTTAACACAGGACACAACACATGATTTAACACAGGACACAACACATGATTTAACACAGGACAACACATGATTTAACACAGAACACAACACAGGACACAACACATGATTTAACACAGGACAACACATGATTTAACACAGAACACAACACATGATTTAACACAGGACACAACACATGATTTAACACAGGACACAACACATGATTTAACACAGGACACAACACATGATTTAACACAGGACACAACACATGATTTGACACAACACATGATTTAACACAGGACACAACACATGATTTAACACAGGACACAACACATGATTTGACACAACACATGATTTAACACAGGACACAACACATGATTTAACACAGGACACAACACATGATTTAACACAGGACACAACACATGATTCAACACAGGACACAACACATGATTTAACGACACAATATTATGACACATAATTCCTCACATGCACATGATACAACACACACGCACCACTTCATTCATCACCTACAAGATGTGATTGTCACCAGTGATGTGTGGTACCTATCTGTGTATTCTATGTACAGTGCACATCCTCTCAACATGCACACATCCAGATTAATACAATTCAAAAACTACTGCTAATATTCTCCATACCTTTTGGGGAGGAGTGGGGTAGCCTAGTGATTCAAGCGTTGGCTCATCATGACGAAGACCCGGGTTCAATTCCCCCATGTGGGTACAATGTATGAAGCCCATTTTTGGTGTCCCCCGCCGTGATATTCTCAAATATTGCTAAAAACAGCATAAAACCATACTCACTCACTCACTCCATCCCTTTGTACCAGTTGTCTTATTCTATACATATATATAACCATATATAATTGTAATCAGAATGTTGACAGGGACTATGAAATCTTTGGGCAATGGGCATAGTCAATAAGCAGTCCCAAACAATTTCTGTGCTAAAATTTTATCGATATTCTGCCGTAAAATTATCAATATTCTGCAGTAAAATTATCAATATTCTGTGGTAAAATTAGAAAATTCTGCAGCAAAAACATATCCATTCACCCTCTGCCATTAATACACACTCATTTTTTTAAAAATTTCATTCCCTTGCATTTACACATTTCAAGACATAAAATCATGCATGCATATGCATAGTGTCTGATATTTATGGTTAGATGTAAACATACTTTATGTAGTCATAATACCACAAGAGTGAGTTAAAGCTTTACGTCACATCGGCAATATTTCAGCCATATCGTGACGATAATACCTCAAGAACATTTAAGAGTGAAAATGATATTCAGTGATTTTTCTGCTATTCTGTGGTACATGTTCTGCAAATCTGCCTGCAATCTCAGAATCGCAGAATTCGTCTGGGACTGCAATGACTTACACATGTTAAACTGATTAAAGCCATTTACTCTCCATGCAGACACTAAACTGAGTTATTGGATAGTCTTGACAATGGTATAAGGATCTGACCAGCCAATCCCGTTTAACGGCCTCCTACGACAAGCACGGGTTGCTGAACACCAGTTCTAACCTGGATCTTCACGGGTCTGTAGTTAATCTGGCACATGACCAATTACCTACAGTAATATGACAGAAACAGGTGGCATATTTGCATATTTGCCTCCTGCTTCTGGTATTTTTGGCAAGGAATATTCGTAAAACAGGATACAAGTTATAAATAGACTGTTCTGGCCTTGTAATGCCAACATCTTTCCAAGGTAAACATTCAATACGCACCAACAAAAATAAACTGTACAAAATATTCAACTGTGATACAAAATAAATATATAAACGAGGAATAAAAATGTCTTGTACAATTTCTCATCCCAGTCACATATCAATGACAGCTGAGACACAAATCCACAACTCCTGCACACCTCTCTCATTGGGAATTCCATTAAACAAATTGTAAATAATAAATACAAACACAACAGAAATCAATTACCGACGTAATAAGCGCCCCGCTCTAATAAGCGCCCACGGCGATATTTGCTAATATATTGGCTAGTGAACAATCCCAATCCGCACCCCTTCCGATTGATCAATGTACGCCAGACGTATTTATTTGTGAATAATACGCACTTGTGTGTTATATCACCCTTAATTATGGGCAATTAAATTCTTGAAAAATATATCTGTCGTATGTAAACATTTCAGGCTGTTAGCATAAACCACCAAATTTACGATCTTTCAACTCAAAATAATATTCTAATAAGCGCCCCCTATTTCTAATTTTGAGAGCGCCCTGAGCGCTTATTACGTTGAATACGGTATATATTTAAAAGAAAACATATATCTGTGTTCTTAAATTTCAGAAAATATCAAAGTGGACACAGCTGATCTGAAGACATGTTACCAGGGTTACACATAGTGTTCATGTACACAGCACCACACCAAAGTCTCTCCAAAAGCAAAAAATGAAAAAGTTTCTATATTAAAACGTTTGATAATACCTTAAAAAAAACAGCTCAATATTTAATCCTTCTTAATATGAGCTTGCCATGTATTTTCATATCATCCCTTGTTGTCATGGTTACTGAAGTCATAAACATGTTTTCAAGCAATTTCTCCTTTTACAATTAAAGATCTCTCAAATTATTATAAAAAATTATTGCAATTCTTATGTTTTATGTGTGTACTATTGTCGTCCCTCTTTAGTGCTCTCCAGTCAATCATGACCAATGTTCTTGTTCAGCCTCCTGTATGCAGAACGTTGGCCTTCAAATGGTATGAAATCAAATAATGAAGTAAATAATACCTTCGGAAAGGTAAAAAATAAATTAGATTTATGTTCCAATAATGTTCCAGGTTCATCTCAACAACATGACTGATATTTATTGATCTGTCTGGGATCACGGAGACATCTCCATCACAATCTACTACATTGCCCAGCGTCAACAAACACTGTCTACCTTGTTTGGAAATGTCAACACATTGAGGAAGCTTTATAAGATAAGATAACATGTTCTTTCATCTCTAGTTTTATATAAATAATGGTGACAAAGTATTCCTAACCTTAATAGGTAGTCAAAATAGCCAACACTTTTTCTCTAAATATGTCAAATATGGTTATATTTTCCGAAATGATAAAGCTCCACTCCACAGTATCATTATATGATACCTGAAATGTGACAAAGGTAGGAAGTATGCTGCTGCTGCTGCTGCTGCTGCTGCTGATGATGAATTTCAACTCAAAGTCACATATGATATCTGAAATATGACAAAGCTTAATGCTGCTGTTAATGATGTGGGTGATGATGATGTGGGTGAGGATGATGAGGATGATGATGATGACGACGACGACGACTTGTTCTGTTGCACATGAACTCCCTCTGACAATATCACTGCAAAGGGATCACCACATCTAGAAGTCTGCACTATGAAGGCGATGATGGTTTGGTGATGGGACTTTATCACTCTCCAGCCAGTTGAAGGTAAAAATGTGAATACTCGCAAACACATGAAACTGGTCATCACACCACGTGACTGTCTTTGTTTTGTTGTCTTCGTGAATACTTTCCGGTTGACAGTTCCCGCTGTAACCATCACGCTTTAAGTCAAATAGAATACAATTGGCCACTTCATTCATTAATAAACCGGGCTGACCTTTGACCTTGTCTGCTGGTACTTGAATGAAACATTTCCCCAGACACTCTTCAAAAGTATCAAAGGTCTTAAACCTTCGGTAGAACTGCTTATAAACCTGCTTTGAGAACTGAAGGTCTCGAGGGATGGGTTGGTTCTTAGTAACGACTAGTCTCACAGTTGACTTAATGGCTCCATTTTGCCGAACTTGATCTTTGGCCAAGTTGATGATGTCGTCTTTAATATCGAAATATTTGACAAGCTTTGAACGTAAGTTCTCCCTGACAACATATTCTGTGAATAACGCTGGCGAACTTTTGAGATGGTCTATAAGCGGATCTATCCCATAATACATTGCATCCTTGAGAATTTCCTCTGCCAAATCCGCTGGTGGTGGGTCATCATGACGTAGGAAGTTGAGAATGTGTTGAAAATGGGTTCCGTCGCGGTCGATGAAGTAGTTGCCGTCAGGGTCTGTGTCCACGTTGTGACGGCCACTGAACATCACGGCAAGCATGGACTCGGGATAGCGCCGGATTGTTGACAAGCGGGTGGCAAAGTGTTTTCCTCCGACATTGAGGGTGACCACACTTGGGAACTGTTCAATCACAAGGAAAGACAACTTTAGTGACTACATTTAACAAGAACAGGACTCAAACAATGGACTCGGATACCCATGACTCAAAACCTGACCCAGATTCAAGTACCTGATTACAATGTGACAAACTCATAAAACATAATGAATATGTGAACATGCTCAATGTGCAGTTTGATTCGCAAAATAAATTTGGGTATTATCAATGTCAATGAAAAGAAAAGAGGAAAGTGCTTCTTATGTAGCATAGGTGCAATGACTTTCATTGAGTTCAATAATGGATCACAAATATTATTCTAGCATGTTTTGTTGGCAAACTTTAATTCCAAAGGGTACACTTTAATTTCAAAGGGAACATTTTAATTTCAAAGGGAACATTTTAATTCTATAGGGCACACTTTAATTCCAAAGGGAACACTTTAATTCCAAAGGGAACACTTTAATTTCAAAAGGAACATTTTAATTCTAAAGGGAACACTTTAATTCTATAGGGCACACTTTAATTCTAAAGGGAACATTTTAATTCTAAAGGGCACACTTTAATTCTAAAGGGAACATTTTAATTCTAAAGGGCACACTTTAATTTCAAAAGGAACACTTTAATTCTAAAGGGAACACTTTAATTTCAAAAGGAACATTTTAATTCTAAAGGGAACACTTTAATTCCAAAGGGAACATTTTAATTCTAAAGGGAACACTTTAATTCTAAAGGGCACACTTTAATTTCAAAAGGCACACTTTAATTCCATAGTTTCTATCCTTGCATTAGAAACTACCTGTGTTTCCTGGTAAACGTAAGTGCTTTAGCTGTTCTTCAGTGGTGACACTTGTCAGATTTATCATAAACTATGGGACGCCTCTCAACATTAGCCAGGTCATAAAGTCTTGAACAGGAAATTATTTGTCACTTTCAGTTAAGAAAGGTAGACACTTATGGCTATGATGAATAATTTCATCATCAGCTCATTGCATTAAATGCAACATTAAAATACAATGTTAAAATACCTCTGAATTTAAGAAAAAATAACTTTAAATACAATCAATTTTGATAAAAATGTATCAATTTTCCCCAATTTGCCTGCCAAGTGTATTTAGCTAGTCCTATCTAATGATAAATCCCTGAAAGAGGTGAGAGGACAGAACGAGCACACTGTATTCTTAATCTACCAATGCAGGATGCCAAAATAAAAGATAATGAACATAGTAACAGCAGAGTGAGTGAGTGAGTGAGTGATCATGCATACATGCATGCATGCATGCTTGCGTGCTTGAGCTATTGATATTGGCCGCAGAACTGTACTTACACTGTGCTTGGCCTAACTATCTGCTATTTAAGCACCACTCTCCCCAACACACACCAACATGTTTAGGATCCATATGTTACCATGGTTACCAGGAGCCAAAATATATCTGGCATAATCACATTTAAACATCCTGACATGTAAACATGACAGTACGAACGAGTTTGTTATGACTCATACGAGCACACTTTTCTTTGTCTCTAAATACTAAGTGCCAAAATATTTATTGGGTCTGATACGGTACATGACTCAAGGAGTTAGGTTGACAAATAAGAGTTTCAGCTGTCAGTGTCAGTTTAATAGCCTAGCAACAGCACCTGTTCTTGTAGTGTGAGTGTGTGTAAATAATCCCCTGTATATTGTCTTGTCAACCTGCAGCATATTCTACACAGAAGGATACAGTAATTCACTAATTAAAACTTGCCAACATACAAAATGAACAGAAAGTGCCACAGCCCTGTAGCTCACCTGGATATGTTGATTACCGGTAAGTAAGGATAAATTATATGGATGAACAACTTCCAATCTCATTAAATTCAGATCTTAGTTTTTGCTACCACTAAACAAAGATCTGAGGACATCCCATGACGGGTCACGTCAGAACGACCTTTCGCAAATTTTGACTGACCAATGAAATGACTGACAAGAAATCGACATTAGCCAATCAGAAGGCAGCTTACTCGAGCTTTATGACACTAGTTTCAAACTGGCGACTATGCTTCGAAACATATTTTGACATATTCTCAATTAAAAAAATTTAACTGATAAGAAGAACATTCTAGAATGGCTTATAGATGGCCTAGATTGTATGGATATGATCATAAAACCCGTAACTGTCATTCAGAATACCCTGTGTTAAATATCTCGTGGTTGCATGATTAGAAAACACATTCCGACTGTCACTTTCCTGATCTGGTAAGCGCCGCTCTGATTGGTTGGATGAAAGGTTGTCCTGACGTGACCCTTCATGGGATGTCCTCAGATCTTTGTTTAGCGGTAGTGAGAACTAAGATCTGATTTTAATGAGATAGGAACAACTTCCTACATTACAATTCGGAGTGACGTTTCGGAGTAGGTTCACTTGCATGATAACGGTGTTGGAACCTACACCGGAGCTAGGACTGGCAATCGATATAGATCATAATGGCTAACTAATCGCTAAATAAACATCAATCAATTACTGATAAATAGGCGATTATACTTGTCGTAAAAGGCGACTAACGGGATCGGGTGGTCAGTCTCGCTGACTTGGTTGATGCATGTCATCGATCCCAATTGCGTGGATCGATGCTCATGATATTTATCAGTGGATTGTCTGGTTCAGACTCAGTTATTTACAGACCGCCGTCATATAGCTGGAATATTGCTGAGTGCAGCGTTAAACAACAAACCAACCAATCTTATCCTTACTTCATACTACAACTTCTAAATGGCTCTCAAAGAAATGGATATATAGATGTTTACCATGTAATGAGAATTTAAGAGCATTGCAGCATATTTTGAGCAACGGTGGCTGAACAATGGCCAAAATGAGGTTTTTCATGGCAGCCATATTGAAAATCATATTCAACCTCTCAGGTGTTGTCATTGGAGGGAATAAGTATGTGAAGTTTCAACTTGGTTGGTTCAGTACTTTCTGAGGAGAGACGTTTACAGTCCAGGAAATACATTTTGAGAGAATTTAGGGGCATGGTCCAAAGTGCAAAGGTCAAATACAGATCAAAATTAAAAATGTTGCAACTTATATGTTGAGCCGACAACACATATATATATATATATATATATATGCACCAATTTTCATGACATTTTAAATAAAAAAGGGTTAAGTAAGGGTCAGCTTTCGGTATGGTTGAAGTGCAAAGGTCAAAGCAAGGTCAAATTTAAATTATCGCAAAACAAGAACACAATGAGCCATGCTACTAACTACTCATAAACCAACTTTCGTTACATTTCGTACAAAAATGACTGAGAAACGACCATATTGAAAATTAGATTTAAATCTCTGGAACAATTGGAGTGAGTGAGTTGGGTTTAATGCCGCTTTTAACAGTATTCCAGTTATATCGCGGCGTGTCAGCTAAATGTGGGAGGAAAGCCCAAAGTGATGCAGGTTTCAGACGTTTACCACTTCGGTGAAACCCACGAGCACAGGTATGGTGCTGACAAACCTAGAAACATAACCGGGCCGAACCGGGATTCGAACACACAATCATAGGTTTCTGGCGAGCCCAAGGGACGCAACTCTGCACAGCGAATCGCGGTGCCTAAGACGACTGGGCCACCCGTGCCCCCTGGAACAGTTGGAGTGTCACGACTGGTGGGAACAAGTATGTGCAGTTTCAGTTGCATGGGTCAAGAGGTTTCTGAGAAGAAAATGTTTACAACCCACAATGGATGACTGGAGATGCATGCCAGATACCAGACAAGCAGTCCATAACATGGGCTCACTTGACTTAAGTAAGGTGAGCTAACAAAAAAGCAACATAATTAATGTTGAATATGAGGCAAGTTCACAATGACTTGCAGTAACTTCATGATACAAGCTGAACATTTATAACATGTGTCAAAATTATTGTAATAATATACTTAAAAATAAGACATGTGATATCATGTGCATATTATCATGATTATACATGTTATATGCAAACATTTCCGATTCCTACTGTCTCATGCTTGGGAACATTTATAAGTGTAGGATAAAACATGTCTGAGGGTTTTTATGAGACTTAAAACCTGAATCCAAGGGATAAAACCGAAGGGTGTCATCCCCAAGGTTTTATCCCGAGGATGAGGGGCTAAATCTCATAAAAACCTGAGGGTAAGTGTTTTGTCTAATTTATAAACCAAAAAAAGATTTAAAACAATATTTATCAACAATTTATGTTTCATAACATACTTTCCATACTTTCCATATGGGTACTTGAGAAAGACATTCTTAAAAGCATTGTGATTTACCAGCGCGACAGATGCCAAGGTTGCATATTCCATCCGCAGGAATATAAAGTAAACATTTGTCATTTGATTTTACATTTCATTACATTCTGTTAAAATGCAAAATAAATTTCAAGCTAAAACATGCATATGTTACAATCTAAACGGAAGTTGTATTAATAAAATCCCCGGGATATTATAACATCCATGTTTATGAGATGTTACCTGACTGGAGAACAATCATGAACAATAGGATGACGTCACTGGAGGTTTATAAATATTAATAAATGATAAAAAGAGATTATTAGCCAATTGTGTTTCCATTTGATACATATCATATATCAGGAATAAAAAGAAGGAATAGGGTTCGGCGAGAATCAGGGGAGGGTCACCCGGAAAATATGACAGTCTCTTGGGGAGGGTCATAAAAAATAATACATATATTTCAGGAAGATCATTAAGAAGATGTCCATGGACATGGGGAGGGTCATTCAAAATATGACAAGCCTTCGAGGAGAGTCGTAACTTTTCAGTACATTAGGGCATGCCAAACCTCTAACCCACCCCACCCTGTAATAAAAGACCAGTCCCTTAATTTACTAAAACACCAAATGTGTTGGTCTTTTTCATTCATATTAATAATATACTGACTAAATACCTATGAGATAAAATATGTATACACACTATTTAAGACACCAAAACAGAAAGCTGGTGGGCTGTGAAATCTAGACTGAAAAGAAATGTTGAAAGTTGAACCTTGTCCATCGTTCATATGTCCTTGTAACAAGTATACCCACTGCTGACTGTGACTGTGACTGTTAGCGATACACACACTGTCACACAGGCCCCCTGCTTCCACCAGACAAGCACACACTGCCCCACTGGCTGCCTACTGAACCATGAATCATACACCTGCAGGTCCGCCAAGCTTCCTTCTCATCAGTGCATTATCTGCTTAATGACATTTTGCCTCCAGTGAAAGGTCACACTTATTTCCTGCCGACATTATGTAAACACTTCTAAGGTGTGTTAAAAGTTGAAGGATATGGGAAACTAGTTCGTTCACATCTACCCCAGGCAAGTGAGTTAACTGACAATAAAAGTCCAGTTTCCATCCTTGCCAAACTGGGCTGGTATTATGGAGTTACATTTTGGCTGGGCTAATGAGTCTATGCATAGTCTAATCAAAATTGCGAAAAGAAATCGAAATCTGGTTCGTAAACTGTTGTGCAAATTTCAGTAAATTGCAGGATTTGCAAAGAATGTGCACCACCAACTCATTGTCAACAGATGTTTTCCAAATCTTTTCAGGATTTTAATCAAGGAGCTCACGTGATTTGATGCACTTTGCGATGTAAGACCCGTTTTATCACACTATAGATCTTGATTATCGATCAGATCGTCTTGACTGGGCACCGCCATTTTGTTCGAATCAAATGCAAGTGATACAAGAGGTGGAAACTGATTATTCCATAGGAGAGGTTTAGAAGGGATATAACTCGTAATAGCCACTGGTGGACCTACGATCAAGCTCAGGAATTCCAACCTAGTTCGGCAAGGGTGGAAACTGGACTTTTAAAGTCTGTTAACTCTCTTGCCTCGGGAAGATGGTTCGTTCACGATTCCTCCATATTTCTAACACATTACCACACAGAGTGACTGATGCACACTTTCTTTGGAAACTGAAAGACATATAGGGTAGTTTCACATTTTCTTACACACTGTCTTTTTCAATGCGTTTTTAACTTTAATGATAATATAAAAAAAAAATATTTTATTGTTTATAAAAAGAAGTACCTGTTACATAAAATGGGCTTCCGCTCAGGGCAGCAGAAACTACATGACATATAGGACAACTTATCAGTACATCTGTAACATACTTCCCACTCACATATTCACTCTAGTAATACAAACATACTGCATATATCAAGTGTGCATAAACTATTATAAAGTTTATATATCATATTGCAGTGCAGGAATGTACATGGACTCAAACATTAAAGTTTTAAGTTTCAAGCTAAAATTAAAATGAAAGCTGCTCCTCATTTTCGAAAAGTTTATGATACAGCTTCCAAGCACCATAGAATTTCTGCTTATTACCTGCCTTGAAGATAATAAATTGATAGATTTGAAACTATCATTTTTAGTCCACTAGTCCTTATAATGATAACATAGAGAGAGAGAGAGAGAGAGAGAGAGAGAGAGAGAGAGAGAGAGAGAATAATGTTTATTATAGTGTCACATGTTATATACACTTCATACTAAAACACGTACACAAACACTAAAATATAACATCCGACCAGGTATGGCTTCCGAGACACTTAGACATAAAAGCAAATTATAACGTCATGATCTGGATAAGGTAAAATAAGACATATACTAACAGAATTTTTAAAGTTAAGATTGGGTTATGAACACGCACGCACGCACGCACGCACGCACGCACGCACGCACACACACACACCAAATTACTTATAAAGTCACTCACGCAATCATACACAAACACATAGATATCCACCCACCCACCCCACCCCCACCCCAACACCATACCACACACACACACGTGCGCGCACGCACACACAAACAAACGCACGCACGCACACACACACACCATACATACATTATACCACACACTCGCACACACAAATACACTCACACAAAAACACACGCATGCACGCACGCACACACACACACACTCCATAAGTACATTATACCCCCTACACACATACACATGCACACACGCACGCACACACACACACACACACACACACCATACATAACATATAACAAAACCCTTAAAAATGACAAATGTCTACTAGCCCTTAGGATACCCTTAACTATTGGGCAGTCTGACGAGGACTACAGGACTAGAGCCAATTTCTAACACTGAGATGTTGTTGTTCATGTTTTGTACAGGTATTTGTCAAACCTTCGATCAAATCAACACACATGATAAAATCAAGATGACTCAGGAAAACAGAGCTTGGTGTCATTTACAAGTTAGATTAACTATATTTTCCTCAATTTTACTGAACTTAAATAAAACCCAATAAAATTAGTGAAATATTTCTGACACACTACAAAAGATTTGTAGATATTCAACAGCTTTGGAGTTCTGCTCCATTATTCTCAGTTTTAGTCCAACTTGTCTTCATGAAAAGAAACAAAATTTAAAAAACCATAAAAATCCCAAATCATCCAACAGACAGCAACAGACTGATCTTATGGCAAGTTTCAACAAGAAAAGTTTATCTAGAACTCTATGGTTACACTACAAGTCACAAATGTTCGCATTTCTTTCTGACTATGCACCCATTCCTTCTGTACTGACTTTTCATTTCTTTATATAAAGATATAACTTGAGTCAACTTCAGTGTATGCATGACCAGATTGTTTAATACATGTATCTAAGTATGTTTTGCCAGTGCTATGGTAAAAAATGCCCAATCAGACATTTTGTACCTATCTCTTGAGACCGTGGGTACCCGGGTAGGGTCGAGAAATAGGGGGGTGGGTACCCGGGTAGTAAATTCGGACTCGTCCCAGCCCTTATAGATACCAACTCAGACACAGTATACTGACTCCAAGCTGACCAGTCCCTGTTTTATACCCTTATGTCGAACATCAAGAAGGGCAACATCAACTTACAAGTACCATCATTTAACGTCTAGCGTTAGTTATTATACATCTGAATCTGATTTCATAATACTATAAGGAGCCTATATTAACCCATCACCCGAGTTAAACACAAACTCGTAGACAGCATGACTTAGAACAGCTGGGCTATACATGGAACATGGTGAACATCACACCAAAAAAGTACAACCTGTAGCGTTATTGCTGTTCAGGGTAAAAACCCAGTCTAGGTTAGTTAGAGTTAGCTCCCTTATATTACGTCATCAGGTGACGTCATGATTTGTGTGGGGACTCGAGTGGACGCCATACTGGCTGTCGCATATAACTCCGGTCAATAAATTGTACTCAAACGAACCCTAGTCTTAGTGTCAAAGTAACACAACACAACCTTAACTCAGTTTTGCAACACACATATATTGACTACACTTGACTATACTTGAGGTCGGCATATCATAACTTTTGACAAAATACATTTTCAATCAAAATATTTCATGTAGCCCAGGATAATTTATTTGGGAACTATAGGGGGTTAAGCATTTCTATGATATTCCTTGATTTGCGCTGTGTGTATTACATGATTAACGACCAGTGTATGTCAGTAAGTAAAAGCAGAGCAATACATCGTATGATTTTGTAAATACAAACAAGGAAAACATGGTGTATTTGTAGCTTGAATGACCAGCTTGGATAGTCATTTGGTCAGAGCCCAGGCTACCTTTAAATAAGTTACACTATATAGGTTTCTTAATAACATTTGACATTATCTAAATGTATGTAAGCAAGTCCTCTATTATATGGTTGATATTTGTGATTAACAGTGTATGCACAAAATATAATCTGAACCTTTCCTGCATATAATACAAAAAAATATAGGGTTGTTTTTCAGTACATGTACTTTCATTCATTCACATACGCAGAGACCACATAATCTATTTTATGGTCTCTGACAATGGATCCATCACCGAATGATTGATTATCTACTAAACAAATTTATGACAAATAAGGCAGCCTAGTTTTTCAGAACGATTTTGAGATTTCATGTATGAAAGTGAATATTATATGCTTTAAAACAAACATGTTGGGTCATTCTTCCTCATAAGACAGCATGCAACGTGGTAGGCAAAAACATTTAATAAACACAGGGTCGATGCACTATTAGTTATCACAAAGAAACAATGCGCCGTCATGGTAATCCCTGTTCAATGTGTTGTTGCTATCTTCTTGTAGGGTTTATTTAGACCCGGTTCACTTACCGTAATTGTAGGTGAAGTATCTGTGTTGCCATTAGATGCAGCTTCCTCGCCCATACTTGTTTATCATTTACTACCACCTTGTTTTGACAAGGGACATAACTCCCAATACAAAGAATGTGCTGGCCGCTAAAAATACGAATGCTTGCATATTTTGACGTATCGATGGTAATACCATCGATGTTTATTAGACTGATGATAAATGGGAAAAGAGGATGAGAATATATACGCATGGGGAACGAGTTGCGGTGCTGTATTGTTGATGAACGGTAATGGCAATATCTACCGTAAAGCTTATACATATTGTTATGAAAATAAAGTTAAAGACTTAAACATCGGATAAATTGACAAACCCAGCAACTTTGGTGTAGGTCATTCAAAGAATGAAAACCAACCTTGTCTGATGCTAATTTAAATTGTTGTAAACCAACTTTCAGTTACTAATTGCTAATTACCCTATTTACAGTGGGAGTAACGGTTTCACAGGTTCACACGTGACAAGATTTACATCTTGACTAGTAATAATAATTATCACCAAACTATGGTTGGTTGGTTGGTTTGTTGTTTCCCACCGCACTCAGCAATATTCCAGCTATATGATTGCGATATGTAAATAATCGAGTCTGGACCAGACAATCCAGTGATTAATAATATGAGCATCGATCCACGCAATTGGGATCGATGGCATGCATCAACCAATTAAGTCAGCGAACCTGACCACCTGATCCCGTTAGTCGCCTCTTACGACAAGCAGAGTCACCTTTTACGGCAAGCATGGGTTGCTGACGACCTATTCTACCCCGGATCTTCACGGGTCATCCAAGCTATGGCGCACAGTCCCAACTTTATCAGTTCTTATAACAGCCATTTATTTGACATTATTGGGAACAAGAAATAGAAAGCAATTTTATACTGACAATACTGTCTTGATCGTTGAAATTATTAATCTTTCTCGGGAACAAAATTAAGAAAACGTAACTTTGCTGTGTTTTTGACAGGCGAAGTAACGCGCATTGTTTATGTCGCTTCTGACCGGAACACAAACGTTGTATCCCGATCCAAACAGAAACGACGATTCTTTTATATAACAAATAGTTTGAATTGTATAGTTAGATGTACCCTATTAATACTAAACGCGACTCACACTTCATGAAAACAAAGACATAGGAATTGTACTTTAATATCCCGAAGTGAATTGTATTATATTCTCAGCAGCAAATAAAAAACATGATGTATGTTAAATAAATATGGTCGCTGGTGCAGTACACATCATATCTTTAAGCCGAGTTGTTTCCTTGTTTGTTTAGTCACGCCCAGCGATATTACAGCTATAAAGAGAGAGAAATGACAGCGAATTGTAAATAATCGAGTTTGGGCCAAACAATGCAGTGATTTATATTAGCATCGATTCACGCAAATGGGACACCATGCAATCAACCATGTCTCCGAGCCTGACTATTCGTGACCAACTCGTGTTATTCCGGGACAAACCGAATAGCGAGGTTACGGAAAGGGGCGAGTGGTGACGAATGCGAACCTGACCACACGATCCAAATTTAACTGTCCCCTGCAACAAGCATATATTGCTGGGGAGCTATATTGTAATCCTATTGTAATTCTCTCTGTAATCCCACCGGGATATGTTAAAATGAGAGTAGGATTCATTTCCGGAGCTAAACGTTTAAGCTGCACAATATATACAAGTGCTGATAGTGCTAGTCATGATATCTACAAAAACATATTTTTTACATTTTTCGTTTCCAAGGCAACGATTGAATTTCGCTCAAGCGTAGGTACAGTTTGCATGCGGAACATCATTACCAGTAATAAAAGGTTAATAAAAGTGTGAATGTATGCTAAACTGCAGGGTGTCTTCTACTACTACTTCAGCAATTTAAAATTGAAGATGCGCGGGCGAGGAGACTGAGATTTGGAGTTTTAATTGCGCTCCCTTGCATGATAGGAATTTCAACTGAAGCTCGGGACCAAAATTCTTACCCGAAATCTTCACACATAGATTCTAGTTTACATTTACATTTTACATTACTTTAGTTTTGTTTTGAAATGATATATATTTTTTTACACCAGCAGTTAGACTACCATTTAGCCTCTGAAATGAACATATTGTACAGATATAAACAGTTGTTAAATCATATTTATGAAATATAATAAAAAGGAGCCCGGCATAGATTCTGTTCATTTTCAGGCACCACAGTAATCTAGACTTGCCAAATATTGTAGACTTGCAAGGACTGTATTGGATATTTTTGTTCCAAACAAACCGTTTATTCAGTAAGTACGGCCACATGGCCAATAGTACAGCATAGTACAGTAAATTTGTTTCAGTGTCTGTATGACAGCTTACCAGCAGAGGAACTTTATGGTAATTTAGTATTGGGCACTCTCTGTACGTGAAAGTCCAACAAAACAAGGGCAATATCCTACAGCGCACATTCACATCGGCAGATTATTCTTACGGGACGATGCATAGCCCCCAGTGGTGACATACAGAAACACTGATAGTAAACGAGTGACGGATGAGGGGATATGGTAGCCGCAGTCAGTAGACTCCTTGCCTTGCACCAGACACCATGTAATAGATCTATTATATGTTTCTCTGCACCAATCTCTATCTTGTCAATCAATCTCATCGTCTGAAGTTTAGCTTTCATTCAGCCAATCACAACTCAGTTAACTTAAAAGTGAGCCAATCACATAATCCGTTACAAACACACCGATATTTCCACAAATATGGCCGACAATGATGGCTGATCCTCTTCGTCGACCTGACCAAGTGTCTCCTAAGTCGAGCCCCCGTGACAGGGGCTCGAGATCCCCAGCCTATCCCAGACAAGATTCAACAGGGACCCTCAAGACAACCATAAGCCTGGGGAAAATCCCCTCAGTTATTCACACAGGACCCTTCTACTTAATGAAAGATGTGCCGGGTAAGAAAACAATGACTCGAATGACGCGTTGTCAAATAAGCAGACTACGCGTCATGTGATAACTAGACTATATGTCAGATTCCTGTCAACAAATACATGAAATTATCCCAATACTTTTGATTTCCGATTTGTGTACTGTGGTATTCTGGAACTGATCATGCTGAAGATACCGTTAAAAACTACGCTAAGTTTTGATCTAATCATGCAAGGCCTAATTGATGCATGATAAATACTGTCAATGATTGAAATCAAATAGATTATCTATTTCAGTGAATGTAATTAGGTTACCCTAAATCTATCCTTAGCCCTTACTTTTTTTTCATGAACTCAAGCTTGATTCATTAGAAAATTATCCAATGCAGTATGAGGATTCTGTGTCAGAATAGGTCACTAGCGTGCCATGCGTTCCTTAGGGTCAACTGAAAGAGGGATTGAATGGTCCAGGTCTATGACTGGACTGTACTCGTACCTGTAATGTGATGGTAATCAAGCTGCTGTCATATAGCTGGAACATTGCTGACTGCTGCGTTGAACAACTCTTTATCCATATTCTCAATTGAAATTTCTCATTTCACATGTTGAATAGCTGAAAATAATTTTTGTTTTCGAAATAATAATTTTCATTGTATATTTTAATTTTTTGCATGACAGAACCTGCTGAGATTACTGGTAGCACTAACCTATTGTCACAGTATGGGCTTGAACACTCCTACAGCAAGTTCTGTGGCAAGAAAGTTAAAGAGGAACTCAGCGCATTTCTCCCCCATCTTCCAGGAAACATTGATAGTCCAGGGATGCAAGATAACAGGTGCTTAAAGCAGTGGAATACCAACATTTTGTTTCACAGAAACAGGGTTTGACAATTACACGTGTCTACAAGACAAATATCCACTAGACCCATACACTGACTAACAGACAAATACACTGTTCCTCCAGACAAATGCACTAGACCACCAGACAAGAACACTAACAGGATTGGGTGGTCAGAGTCGCTGACTTGGTTGATGCATGTCATTGTATCCCAATTGCGTAGATCGATGCACATGATGTCAATCACTGGATTGTCTGGTCCAGACTTGATTATTTACAGACTGCCGTCATATAGCTGGAATATTGCTGAGTGAGGCGTTAAATAACAAACAAAAAGAAAAGTATTATCTTCCTGTGAAATGAAGACATAGCAGTTAGCAGACAAGAGACAACTTTCAGAACTTGAAGTAACGATTTATTGCATTGAAATCAAGTTCTTAACTGATTCTTTTGTTTACAAACCTTTCAAAATGCCAAGCTCAATAAGGTAAACGCAATGATGATGAACAGTCAGTAATACAAATAAACAAATGAGAGAGTACAATTCACATGATTAGTAACAAAGAATTTAGGATAAGCAGCAAGTACATTTCTTTGTTTCAGTTCTCTGCGGTCTTTGATAGAGAAGCCACCAATCATAGGCAAGGAGTTATCTTCTCTTGCAGGGTCTTCCCTGACAGGCTTCAGGCTCCATCCTGGACCGGTATGTATTGTGTGCTAAGTGACTGAGCGATTAAAGTTAGTAGTGCCTTCATCTCAAACTAGGTCAATAGCGCTGTATGTACATTACCATGACAAACTGAAAGAAATGAATGTTCAGATGTAGTATTTACAACACTATTGACCTAGTTCGAGATGCAGGTGATGCTGAATATAACCGCTCGCAGTCTGACTGCCGATTGTTACCCTGGATTGTAACATGTCGAAAACTCGATGATGTTTATCTCTAGCAAATTGGATATTTCTTGATGTTTGTCACAACACTAAAATAGTATTCCTTGTTTACACGTTTTAAGTATAAGCACACATGCCACAGTTATCCTTATTAGTTAATAATTGCAATATTTTGTATTTCTTTTTCAAGTGGCAAGGGCTATAGGTATCTCAACTGGTGTTGGTATTGCTCATGCTGTCAACCACTAGTTTATCCCAGATTATTGGGTGTCATGATTATGACAGGTGGAGTTGTTTGTTTTTGTGCAGCTTCCTGAGCAGTATCAGCTGTTGAACCAGATGACCCAGAAGAGGAAGCACAAGCGGAAGAAGAAGCACAAGGAAGGGGAGAAGGGGAGTGCACTCCAGGAGACTCAGAGTAAGTGAGGGAGCTACATACAAGCACCAGGCTGAGCTACATACAAACACCAGGCTGAGCTACATACACACACCAAGCTGAGCTACATACACACACCAAGCTGAGCTACATACATGCACCAGGCTGAGCTACATACAAACACCAGACTGAGCTACATACACACACCAAGCTGAGCTACATACACCCACCAGGCTGAGCTACATACAAGCACCAGGCTGAGCTACATACAAACACCAGGCTGAGCTACATACACACACCAAGCTGAACTACATACACACACCAAGCTGAGCTACATACATGCACCAGGCTGAGCTACATACAAACACCAGACTGAGCTACATACACACACCAAGCTGAGCTACATACATGCACCAGGCTGAGCTACATACAAACACCAGGCTGAGCTACATACAAACACCAGGCTGAGCTACATACACACACCAAGCTGAGCTACATACACACACCAAGCTGAGCTACATACATGCACCAGGCTGAGCTACATACAAACACCAGACTGAGCTACATACACACACCAAGCTGAGCTACATACACGCACCAGGCTGAGCTACATACAAACACCAGGCTGAGCTACATACAAACACCAGGCTGAGCTACATACACACACCAAGCTGAGCTACATACATGCACCAGGCTGAGCTACATACAAACACCAGACTGAGCTACATACACACACCAAGCTGAGCTACATACATGCACCAGGCTGAGCTACATACATGCACCAGGCTGAGCTACATACACCCACCAGGCTGAGCTACATACACGCACCAGGCTGAGCTACATACACCCACCAGGCTGAGCTACATACACACACCAGGCTGAGCTACATACACACACCAGACTGACCTACATACACGCACCAGGCTGAGCTACATACACACACCAGGCTGAGCTACATACACACACCAGGCTGAGCTACATACACGCACCAGGCTGTGCTACATACACACACCAGGCTGAGCTACATACATGCACCAGGCTGAGCTACATACAAGCACCAGGCTGAGCTACATACAAACACCAGGCTGAGCTACATACAAGCACCAGGCTGAGCTAAATACATGCACCAGGCTGAGCTACATACACCCACCAGGCTGAGCTACATACACACACCAGGCTGAGCTACATACACACACCAGACTGACCTACATACACACACCAGGCTGAGCTACATACATGCACTAGGCTGAGCTACATACACACACCAGACTGACCTACATACACGCACCAGGCTGAGCTACATACATGCACCAGGCTGAGCTACATACATGCACCAGACTGAGCTTCATCATACACACACCAGGCTGAGCTACACACACCAGACTGAGCTACATACACACACCAGACTGAGCTACATACACGCACCAGGCTGAGCTACATGCACACACCAGGCTGAGCTACATACACACACCAGACTGAGCTACATACACACACCAGACTGAGCTACATACACACACCAGACTGAGCTACATACACACACCAGGCTGAGCTACATACACACACCAGACTGAGCTACATACACCAGGCTGAGCTACATACACCAGGCTGAGCTACATACACACACCAGACTGAGCTACATACACATACCAGGCTGAGCTACATACACACACCAGACTGAGCTACATACACACACCAGGCTGAGCTACATACACACACCAGGCTGAGCTACATACACCAGACTGAGCTACATACACACACCAGACTGAGCTACATACACACCAGGTTGTGCTACATACACACACCAGGCTGTGCTACATACACACACCAGGCTGAGCTACATACACACACCAGGCTGAGCTACATACACACACCAGACTGAGCTACATACACACCAGGTTGTGTTACATACACACACCAGGCTGTGCTACATACACACACCAGGCTGACCTACATACACACACCAGGCTGAGCTATATACACACACCAGGCTGAGCTACATACACACACCAGGGGGGTATTATCTGCTATATATAGGGCAATAGGTGAGGTGTCAGTTCTGGTGTTGTGACTGACAATCAGCATAACTTTGAACATTCTACTGTTTATATACATGTGTATAATGGAATTCAGAATATGTTGCTGCATTAACTTGCGACCATATTTGGTGTCATATTTCAGATGAGGATTTGTGACCTTGTGTCATATTTCAGGTTTAGATAATGGAATAATCTCCAGAGACACGTTTTTGTGATTTATCTTATCGTGTTCACATAATATTGAAAACGTCCATGAAAATGTCCACCTGTCAGCTGTTAATGTTGTTGATGTTGTTGATGTTGTAGCTGAGAATGCAGCTGATGCGGAAGCAAAGAAAGTTAAGAAACCAAGGAAGGATGAAGACAACAGCAAGGACAACAGCAAGAAGAAGGAGAAGAAGAAGAAGAAAAAGAAGAAAGTAAGTTGATCATGTTGATACCATGACGATATGTTCTTTATTCCAGCTATTTATTTTGGCTGTTTGTCATAGAACAGTAAAATTTATTTTGGTTTTGAGATAACCAGGTTTGGTGGATTTTACCAGCGCCTTTCTTTTATTTTTTATCAAGGACAGTATCACTATGGTCTGTTTGATGAGGTCAAAGTTTAGGAGTTAGGACAGAACCATGGAAAAACAAATATGTTTAAGATCTTGGTAACCCTTAACATCACCTTTAATTGTGAAGAGTGATTCCAGCATTTCATCTACCCTGATGATGTAGTCTCACCCTATTGGTGTCACTTTTCCCTGATGATGTAGTTTCACCCTATTGGTGTCACTTTTCCCTGATGATGTAGTCTCACCCTAATGGTGTCACTTTTCCCTGATGATGTAGTCTCACCCTATTGGTGTCACTTTTCCCTGATGATGTAGTCTCAACCTATTGGTGTCACTTTACCCTGATGATGTAGTCTCACCCTATTGGTATCACTTTTCCCAGATGATGTAGTCTCACCCTATTGGTGTCACTTTACCCTGATGATGTAGTCTCACCCTATTGGTGTCACTTTTCCCTGATGATGTAGTCTCACCCTATTGGTGTCACTTTTCCCAGATGATGTAGTCTCACCCTATTGGTGTCACTTTACCCTGATGATGTAGTCTCACCCTATTGGTGTCACTTTACCCTGATGATGTAGTCTCACCCTATTGGTGTCACTTTACCCTGATGATGTAGTCTCACCCTATTGGTGTCACTTTTCCCTGATGATGTAGTCTCACCCTATTGGTGTCACTTTTCCCTGATGATAAAGTCTCACCCAATAGGTATCACTTTACCTTGATGTAGTCTCACCCTATTGGTGTCACTTTACCCTGATGATGTAGTCTCACCCTATTGGTGTCACTTTACCCTGATGATGTAGTCTCACCCTACATGTATCCCTTTACCCTGACAATGTAGTCTCACCCTGGGGGTATCACTTTACCCTGATGATGTAGTCTCACCCTATTGGTGTCACTTTACCCTGATGATGTAGTCTCACCCTATTGGTGTCACTTTTCCCTGATGATAAAGTCTCACCCAATAGGTATCACTTTACCTTGATGTAGTCTCATCCTACATGTATCCCTTTACCCTGACAATGTAGTCTCACCCTGGGGGTATCACTTTACCCTGATGATAATTCTCACCCAAAAGGTATCACTTTACCTTGATGATGTAGTCTCATCCTACAGGTATCCCTTTATCCTGATGGTGGAGTCTCATCCTACAGGTATCACTTTACCCTGATGGAGTAGTCTCAACCTGTAGGTATCCCTTTACTTTGATGATGTAGTCTCACCCAAAAGGTATCACTTTACCCTGATGGAGTAGTCTCACCCTGTAGGTATCCCTTTGTAGGTGTCATCAGATCTTCGTGTGGAAGGATGCAATTTCATGTAAAAGATCTGATTTATTGAAATTGTTACAAGGCATGCTTTTTACTAGACAATTCTTGAAGAATAATTTAGAGTTTTAAGTACAGGTGTATGGTCCAGATCGGTGTAATCAACTCATACATGCATGCCTTTCTGTTTTGCCAGAGACACAGCCCAGAACATCAGCCTTCTGCAACTCAGGGAAGTGAAGGTGGCTCATGAGGCAGGGGCCATGTCATGCAGAATGTGGGCGGAGTCTCATGGTCATGTGATGTAGAATGTGGGCGGAGTCTTGTGGTCATGTGAGGTAGAATGTGGGCGGAGTCTCGTGGACATGTGAGGTAGAATGTGGGCGGAGTCTTGTGGTCATGTGACGTACAATGTGGATAGAGTCTCGTGGTCATGTGACACAGATTATGGGTGGAGTCGATTACCCAAGGTGGAGTCGATTACCCATGTGACAGAATTGAGTTGACTCTGATGGCCATGTGCAGATTCTCATGTGACAAAGAATGTTGGCGGAGTCTGATATTCCACAGTTGGATTTTGAGATGTTGGATGCTGTATGTAACAGGAGATAATGACAGCCTCGTACTGACAGAGTTGTCTCCCTCAAGTGGTCCCAGAAACTCAAAACTAAAGGATCAGAATGGTGTCATAGACTTTTACCTGGATTTTACAACGGAAGAAGACACAGGCTGTTACTCACTCCATTGTCAAGTGTGCTATATCTCTATTCTATTATGCCTCGGCGTTAAGGCATTCACTCGTCACTCCCACGTGGGTACAATGTGAAGCCCATTTCTGGTGTCCCCTGCCGTGAAATTGCTGGAACATTGCTAAAGCGACGTAAAACCATCCTCACTCATTAATTTGCCACCATGGCTTCATTTAGGAAGTGATGTCGCCATCACTCCTATCTTACTAAGAACAGAATTTATCATAATCATGATAATAGAATGGAGATATATCACACTGGATAATCAAGGCTATATGGAATGTTGACTTGTTTTATTGAAATAAAATATGTCCAGAAGTGATGTCAATATCTTGTAGTTATATCAGTGGCTCTGATAACAGTGCCTCACACGTGATGTGTGTAGGTTGATAGTCTAAGATTTGGACTGCACAGATTAGTCAACAGACAGGGATGTACCTGGGTTATATTATTTGTTTATTTGATGGTCCAGGGGACTTCATCCTGTTACTTGTAGTGGTTCCAGTGTATAAACGGGGGTTCCCAAGCCACAACATGGGGGTCACAGAGAAATGACAGAAACTGAATACAGTACAGTACTATTCCACAAGTGACAGAAGGTGGCACCTCCTGAGAACCCTTCCGTTAAAAGTAGATATGGAATGCCCCAACTGAAACGAGTCTCCAAATGCCAGTGTTAGAAGATCATAAAGCAATCGATTGTGTATGTTATTTTCTACATTACACATGGAAATTAATTTCATTAAATATAGTATATTCATTGCTACACGTGCATCAAATTTATTTTCAACACAAACAGCATTAAATATGCAGCTCTCCAGTATCATGGCGACCCATCTTGTCACTTGATTGTTGTTGATGCAGAGGAGAGATGTCGCACAAATTTGTACAAGATCCCATTTAGTAAACACTTAATACAATTATGCTTTGGTATTGTATGTTTTATACAAACTTGGATGAAGTGAACTGATTAAAATGACCCTACTTAAGAAGAGACGGTGTTCGTAGTGTAAGGCACTCGACATGGCAGTTTTCACATTTTGTTCACAGTTTTAAAAGCACACCATGAGATATGTTTGTTGTATGTATATTTTGTACTGATAAAACCCCTGGTTGTACACAAGACCTGTGTATATTCAGAAATAAATATATGAAACTAGGCAAAATGTTATGTTATGTTTTTTTAGAAAGTATTTCTCCCGATGTTCAGTATGTTCCTCCATCAACAGGGGGCACGGGTGGCCCAGTCGTCTAAGGCGCCGCGATTCGCTGTGCAGATTTGCGTCCCTTGGGCACGCCAGAAACCTATGATTGTGGGTGCGAATCCCGGTTCGCCCCGATTATGTTTCTAGGTTTGTCAGCACCATACCCGTGCTCGTGGGTTTCACCGAAGTGGTAAACGTCTGAGACCTGCATCACTTCGGGCTTTCCTCCCACATTAAGCTGACACACCGTGATATAACTGGAATACTGTTAAAAGCGGCGTTAAACCAAACTCACTCACTCACTCACTCCTCCATCAACATTGCATACATTGGGCCAAGATGAGGGCTGGGACGATACACCAACCGTGTGATTGGATACCTATCACGATACCTTCCTCCAACACGTTTTGGTACGTATCCTGATATTTGCATGTGCTCTTATCTGTGGTCTGTAAGCCACCTTTTAGACAGGATGGCCAAATACCTGGCACACTGATGATTTACAGTTGGCAGTGTTAAACATGGTGCAATGGTTGAAAATATGTAGGTTTTCACTACTGATTAGTGTTTATTGGAACAGTTATTAAACCAAACATTTGAGGTAAGAATCGATATTTTTTACTTAGTGTGCGACTGTGATCGATACTTGTATCGAGAGGTAAAATATCATGATCCACCGATGCATCAGTGTATTGTCCCACCACTAGTCAATATGCGGTTAATGTCTAGTTTCAGTCAGGTAGTGAATGGCAGCCATGTGTAACTCACGGAAGCTAAACGAGCATCAGAGTGAGTGAGTGAGTATGGTTTCATGTCGCTTTTAGCAATATTCCAGCAATATCACGGCGGGGACACCAGAAATGAGCTTCACACATTGTACCCATGTCGGGAATCGAACTTGGGTCTTCAGCGTAAAGAGCGAACGCTTTACTCACTAGGCTACCCGACCGCCCCAAATGAGCATCAGAGCACTCATTGGTTGTCCCCTGATGGAACCAGGGGTTTGATGGAGTCATTGCTTAGAGGGGGCACGGGTGGTCCAGTCGTCTAAGGCGCCGCGATTCGCTTTGCAGAGTTGCGTCCCCTGGACACACCAGAAACCTATGATTGTGGGTTCGAATCCCGGTTCGCCCCGATTATGTTTCTAGGTTTGTCAGCACCATACCCGTGCTCGTGGGTTTCACCAAAGTGGTAAACGTCTGAGACCTGCATCACTTCGGGCTTTCCTCCCACCGTAAGCTGACACGCTGTGATATAACTGGAATAGTGTTAAAAGCGGCGTTAAACCCAACTCACTCACTCATTGCTTAGAAAGAGCAGCTACAACACCAAGCATCTGTAAGTACACTGATAAAAACAAATGGTTAGGATCATGGATATTTGGGGGGGGGGGGGGGGGGGGGGGGGGGTAAAATCTTGAGCACACAATTTCATAAAAAACATTCCCCCAAGTATTCATGATCCCTCACCATTTTATTTTCAGTATACTAACAGATGCTTGTTCAGTGTATTTACTGGTGATGGAGGAATGTAGCATGTTGATTGTGGACATCACAAATTATTATATGTTGGTTTGTCAAAATGTGCATCACCTTACTGTGGCATACCGGTATGTCTAGACATTTGTCAGCTTGTTGATGTGGGTTTGCCATTGGATGAATATTGTACAGCGGTTGGATTAATTTCCAGTTGAAATTACCTCTTCAGCATTTTGTCAAATTTTAGATCATATGGTGGATCATGGTGCCATTGCGAGGTGGCTAAGCGGCCCCTTTATGCAATGCATGCATTTGAACCGACCCGTGAAGATCCGGGGTAAAATAGGTCTTCAGCAAAAGGCGACTACCGGTATGCTTGTCGTAAGAGGCGACAAACGGGATCAGGTGGTCAGGCTCGTTGACTTGGTTGATGCATGTCATCGATCCCAATTGCGATAATGTCAATCACTGGATTGTCTGGTCCAGACGCGATTATTTACAGACCACCGTCATATAGCTTGAATATTGCTGAGTGCGGCGTTAAACAACAAACAAAGAAACATTGGAACTGCCTCTGTGGTCAAGTGGATAGAGCGTCTGTCTGGAGATTGGAAAGCCATTGGTTCAATCTCTGTGGCTTCATACTAAAAGAAGCTAAGATACTAAAGGATACATGCTGCTACCCGGAATTGTCAAGGAACATGCGTTATAAAGTGCAATAACCTTGAACATGGTGTTAAACACGATTTAATCTCAGCACCTATAAACATGGAATGTTAATCAATACTGTATAGAATCAAGTCTGGACCAGACAGTCCAGTGATTGATATGAGAAACGATCCACTATGTCAAATCAAAGTGACTTGGGGTTGAACGTAGCGTTCAAGATTATTGCCCTTATCTAGCGACATGCCTGCATGGTTGTGTGTGTGTGTGGGTGGCTGCTTTGACTAATCCGGACTAATGCAAAGTTTACAGTGCTAGCCCACTGAGATACCATGCCACAGTTTAGCATGAATAACGAACTCAGACATAGTATACTGACTCCGAGTCCACCAGTCTTTGTTTTATTTAGGCCCATAATGCTGAGCGCCAGGCAGGGTAACAAGTACTATCTTTTAACGTCTTTTGGTATGATGTGCCCTGTGATCGAACTCACGACCTTCCGCTCTCCGGGCATACACTCTACCACTAGACCTCAGCAACGTACCTTGCCGTCTGGATGTGAATACAGTCAGTAAACCAAGTCACCCAACATGGTCACCATACAGTTGCCTCTTTCGGCCAGCTTAGAGATTGTGTGTGATTATTCCCTGGTTGATCTTCATATTTTTGTTTCAGTCACTGGTTGCTGGGCGAGGGTCTTGGTTGATTGGGTGTGACCGTACACCCACAGTGAATCAATGATCTGATCTGATCTGTTCTTACTCGGAATTCCCACTGGGGACAGTGTTCAGCTGAGTTTAAGACTTCAAAGACAGTTGCACCGATGGGCTTTGCATACTGTAACCATGTGAGGAATCAAACCCGGGTCTACGCAGTCATCCCTATCGTAGACAGACGTCATTGGTTTGGTTTGGTTTGTTGTTTTATGCCGCACTCAGCAATATTCCAGCTATATGACGGCGGTCTGTAAATAATCAAGTCTGGACCAGACAATCCAGTGATTGATATTATGAGCATTGATCCACGCAATTGGGATACGATGACATGCTTCAACCAAGTCAGCCAGCCTGACCACCCGATCCTGTAATTCGCCTCTTACGACAGGCATAGTCACCTTTTACAGCAAGCATGGGTTGCTGAAGATCTATTAGAACCCGGATCTTGACAAACAGATATGTAACTGGGGACCGGCTTTCCTACAGAAGATAGAAGCAATGGGATGCATCCAATTATTCCAATAACCAGTGATAGTTTGATTAGAAATCCTGGAATACAAAGTGGCATTAGATATTTTGTACCCAGCCCACTTGTGCACTCACTCACTCACTTTTCTTAGTCGCGTGGATTCTTATTAAAAACTGTGAGGAGCAAGTCCTGATTCATTGTAGTATTGATGCTTTTGACGTCATGCTTTGAAATATCTTGAACAGGCTACTTGTGGTAACGAAGCCGTTTTGTGTAAGATTAACTGTTTTCATGATATGAAACTATTGGAGACATCTCAGTGCGAGACTTGGTGATGTTCCACTGTGTTTGACAGTGACAAGATAGACAGTCATAGAACACAGGGACATTACACCAGTGACTGCATCAAACGGTGGATTCTGTGTCCCTGTAAGTGTGTTTGACAGTGACGAGATACACAGTGATAGAGAACAGGGACATTACACCAGTGACTGCATCAAACTGTGGATTCTGTGTCCCTGTAAGTGTGTTTGACAGTGACGAGATACACAGTGATAGAGAACAGGGACATTACACCAGTGACTGCATCAAACTGTGGATTCTGTGTCCCTGTAAGTGTGTTTGACAGTGACGAGATACACAGTGATAGAGAACAGGGACATTACACCAGTGACTGCATCAAACTGTGGATTCTGTGTCCCTGTAAGTGTGTTTGACAGTGACGAGATACACAGTGATAGAGAACAGGGACATTACACCAGTGACTGCATCAAACTGTGGATTCTGTGTCCCTGTAAGTGTGTTTGACAGTGACGAGATACACAGTGATAGAGAACAGGGACATTACATCTGTGACTGCATCAAACTGTGGATTCTGTGTCCCTGTAAGTGTGTTTGACAGTGACGAGATACACAGTGATAGAGAACAGGGACATTACACCAGTGACTGCATCAAACTGTGGATTCTGTGTCCCTGTAAGTGTGTTTGACAGTGACGAGATACACAGTGATAGAGAACAGGGACATTACATCTGTGACTGCATCAAACTGTGGATTCTG